CGACTGTAGGGTACTCTGACTCCGTCAAATGTGATGGCTGGTAAGTTAACCCAGTCAACTCTCGAGACCAAGTTTGGCGAGCCAATGATAATAGACTGGCATTTGTTTGGATTGACCTTTATACCGTAAGAATTGCTCCAGTTTAAAATTCTAGATAAGTCATCATTAATACGAGCAATGGCAGACGGTAAATCTTCGAGAGTTGACTGTGTATAGATTTGTACATCGTCTGCATACATGTGATAGAGAGAAGATATATTGTGAGTGATAGTATTAATGAAGATAGAAAATAGTAATGGTGACAACACGCCTCCTTGTGGAACCCCTGCACAGACATTACGCCAAGTTGATAAGGTCTCATCAACCTTAATCCGATGCCGGCGTCCATGCAGGTAATTGCGAAACCAATCAATTACTGATGGAGATATGTTAATAGAACGTAGCAGCTCCAGTAATATGTCGAAGTCAACGTTATTGAAGGCGTTACTAAAATCTAGTAAGGTCAATACTGTAAGCTGCTTACTGTCCATACCCAAACGAATGTCATCGGTAATCTTTATTAGTGCAGTAGTCGTACTATGACCACTGCGAAATCCGGACTGAAAAGGATCAAGGAGGTTGTTTTTATTGAGGAATGTGTTTAATTGTTGGTAAACCAATTTTTCTAATATTTTAGACAGGAATGGTAGGATAGAAATTGGACGATAATCAGAATATGTAGTTGGATTTGCTTTTTTCGGGAGAGGAATAATTTGAGCATCTTTCCAAGATGTGGGATAGTCGCCTGAGGAAATTGAATAATTAAGGATATGGGTAATGATAGGAGTGATAATTTCAAGGATGGGTATGATCATATTACGACTAATACAGTCACCACCGACGGCCTTAGAGGCAATTGACCGTACGTTCTTTTTAACATCACATTCAGTGAATTGATTAAAAGTAAACGGAGGAAAATTAGAAGTTGGAAAAGATGAGATGGAATTTAAAGTAGTAGCTTTTTGGACGGTATCTAAAGAGTTGCCCGAAGATGAGAAATGAGCATTTAAGCTTTCTATATCAATGTTATTTAAGGATAACTTTTTCGAGGATTTTCCAACTCCTATCGTTTCAAGGAACTTCCACGTACGGGCAGTGTCGCCGTTTTCGACAGATTTATGAATGTGGCGTCGTTGTGCATCCCTACACAATGTATTGCAGCGATTTCTTATTTTCTTATACTTACGAGCATTAGTTTCGGATTTGTCAGATTTGTATAATGATTTGGGGTAGCTTTTCTTTGCAATTAAAGTTTTTAAGGAATCCGTTAGCCATGGTGCAGGTAAGTGTTTTATTTTTACCGGTTTAATCGGTGCATGGATATCGTACAACTGTGTTATTAGAGTGTTAAAGATGTCAACTTTCGAATCAATATTTTCTGCAGCTGTAACAGCACTCCAGTCAATTTGACAGGCATCATCACAAAGACGGGTAACATCCATTCCACCAAAATTACGCTGGAGAAGTATTCGTGGTTTGGACTTAGGAGGGCGTATTTTATACGATAGATAAATAAGATCATGGTATGAAAAAGAGTCTGCAGGAAACTGGCCATAGTTACAAACGAGATCAGGTGAGGACACTATTATGAGGTCTAAAAGAGATGGCATACAGTTCGGTAGTTTGTGAGTAGCCGAAAGTGGTAAAATGTGTAAATCGCAGGCTTCAATTATAGACACGAGTTTATTAGAACGATTGTCCTTCTTAAGTAAACAAGTGTTAAAATCACCCATTATTATAGTTTGACTATATAATGGGGTTAGATTCTCTAAGAAACTTTCAAATACAGAAAAATAATTGATAAGGAAAGAGGGGCTATAAAAAACACCGAGCAAGATTTTACTATGGGATAACACGACTTCTAAAAGCAGATGTTCGGCCGCATCAGGAGGAGGGGGTTGAATTGACGAATTTAAAATTTTAAAAGGAATATATGAGCGGAGATAAATCGCGACTCCGCCACCTCCCCTGCCAATGCGGTCGTTGCGGATGAGATGAAACCCGGGCAAGGAGTAAGACGTGGAGGGCAAACAAGGCTTAAGCCAAGATTCTGAAATTAAAATTGCATGTATGTTTCTTGATTCAAAAGATGCAAGCATGTCTGGGTAATGAGCCGGAATACTTTGGGCGTTGATATGAATTACATTAAAATTTTTCCCAAGAGTGGAGAAATGAGAATTAAGTGTTATATTTAATGGAACGAAACTTGTACTGTGGTAACTTGCATTGCTACTCGAGTCATCATCGGACGAAAAGGATAAAAACTGGTCGCTCTGTATACTACTATTTGATATAGACATAACTAAGTCATTAATATATAAATAAATATATAATAAAATAAAATCAATATATACAACAAAATACTTATAACTTATAAATATTAATAAATAAAAATAAATATATATATATATGTAAATAGAAAATAGAATTAAAAAATAATAATAATAATAATTAAAATGGACTTTTTTTTTTTTTTTTTAAACTGTGTTTCACAACCCACCAGCTTTAAAACATAATAACAATGTAAATTCTTAACAATATTTGTTTACAAACACAAGGAAAACCCACACAAAACTTCTTAATAAAAATAAAAAAGAACATAGTATACAAAATACAAAACCAAAAACAAAAATAATAGTTAATTATATATCTAAGAAAAATGTATAATAAAAAAAAAAATGCTTTATAAAATTCGATACTGAGCAAAGATAGATCAATAAATTTATATCTATCCACTACATAAGTAATCTTACTTTATTTTTCAGCAAAATGAATTAAAAAGCCAAAAAAAATAAAAAATAAAAAAATATAAATAAAATAAAAACAAACAGATAGAAACAAAATCCTTATCTAGATATCAACACTAAATGACCACAGTGACAGTATTGTAGTAGTTGAACATTACATAGTCTATGACCATCTGTCATATGTCAACTGTCAACGCTCAGCGTCAATTAGTGTGACAACTGACAGTAAATCGTTTTCGACGTTCAAACATAAAGATTATTGTTTAACTATTTAAATGAAGAATTGAATTGAACTGAACTGAACTAATTAACTAACTATTGTGAAATAGTGTACAACTAATACACGTTAAAAGCAAACAATGATGAAAGATCTATGTTATAAAACTATGTATTGTGAAGAGCCTTACTTCTTGACGACTCTTTTGGGTCTCGTAGTATATGAAGGCACTTTACTTCCTTTTGGGATAGTTGCTGAGTTCGCCGGTACCGTGGATGGTTCAGAAGTATCCTCCACTGGGCGCTGCAGCGCATTTACTTCCGACACCGACACAACACGATGACGGGATCCCTCTGCATCTAACACAATTATGCAGCCGTCTTTGGTCCAGCACTGCCTAACTCCAAAAAGTCTTCGTGCTAGTACAAATGCTTCATGCCGGGTCTTAGTGAGGAACTCAGATAATGTTATTCCTGTACCTTTCAAACTCGTCTTAGAATACCAGAGCTTATCCCGCAGTGACTCATCCTTAAACCTGACAAGAATTGCACGTGGTTTGTTTCCAGCAGAGGATCCGAGACGATGGCAGCGGGTGTAGTCAGAAAGAGAAAACTGAGAAAATTTGAAATGCTCTGACAGTACTTTTGTTACAAGCGAAGAGGTATTTTCCTTCTTTTCTTCTGGTACACCGTGAATTAAAATAATTTTTCTCCGGGATCTCATCTCAAATTCATCTTGCTGCCTTGTAAGCAACTCAACCTGTACCTGGAGACTCTCGAGGGCAGACAAGACGAATGTTCGGAATGTCATGAACTGTGCATTTATATTTGACGTTGGACTTGTAGCGGGTGAAACTGCTTTCAGATCTTTTTGGAATTCTGACATGCGTGTGTTAAAAGTCTCAGTTAATTCCAGTAAGGACTTTTTAAGTGAATCCATAGTGTTCTTCTATAGTAATTTATATGTATTAGGTTATGTTGTGATGTGGCACTCGTGTTGTATATAGTATTTTAGAATGTTTGTAAACTAATTACATGAGAGGACAGCTGGGAGGTTTGTGATTTTATACGTACATACCACTCTTGCCTTCAGTGCTTAATAAATGATTTACAATTTATTTTAATTGGAGCAAATTTCTTTTGACTTGTCACATACACCACCAACTACCCTCGTATGTAAATACTAACGTAGTTCTTAAGTTTTATATTGTTACTAACAAATTGAGTCTTTTGTTGCTCGAATTTTAAATTAAATAAATAAATAAAAATAAAATAAATTATTATAAAAGCTAAAATCAATATATAATGAATGAAATTGGATATTACTATTAGTGGAAAACTCTATGCTGAAAATTACGTGTCCATCTGTTCAGTGAGTGAGTTTCGTAATAACATCCGCTTGCCGTTCACAGATATCCGAACAAAATAGTCTATAAATGTTTAAGACTCGCTATCCGATGTAAACGTTTTGTTAGTGTTGTACGTCTGTTTATAATTGTACGCGCTCTAATTATTTGATCTGAATTTAATAGTTTGCTTTGAGTTTCAGCTATCGGAATGTATAAGCTTTAAAGATTTGCGACTATGTATAGCGAAATTGAAAACCTTTGTATAACGTTGGCTTAACCGTTGTAAAAAGCAAAACGTATTTTTATTTTGGTAGGGAGGTAAGCTTGTGGGGGGTTGTGGGAGGTTGGGGGTTAGTTAAGTCTCAACGGGTGTCGCATGCGGCCGATGGCTCACTGCTATACATCGCTTGTCACTCACACCAGTTACGACGCTTTTACGACTCACCCCACTTAAACTTACAAACCTTGTAGTTAATGTTGGACCTCCTACCATGTTAGTTTTTTCTACACCAAATGTATCCGACTAATGGATTTTCACTTACTGTATTGTTTTTACATGTATAGGAAAATACATTTTCTGGTAATGCGTTTACCTAATGTACATAGATTTTATGTATGTATGTGTTTGTGTTATTATTTTGTTACTTACTGACGCACTTCTCTCCTCTGAATCCACACGGGGGCTCGGAGAGCGGCACTCGACCGCCGGGCCATTTGATCTCTCTCAGGAGCCGTAACTCCTGCATGAGATGAAGTAAATGGCACGTAATGCAAATGTTCTGTAAATTTTATAAGCTAAAACAAACGCAGATTATGCTTACGGTCTAACTTAGAGAATTTAATTTCGGTGTTCATTAGTTATGTTTTTTATATTAAAGTTTATCCTAATTTATGTACTGAGAAATATTTGGTAAAATTGGGTTCATTTTATTCATCTATGTAGTAATATTATTAATCGTGAACTTGTACAGTTAGTAATAGTTTTTACATTAAAAGTTATGTGCTCATAAGTTTTATACTCGACATTTTTTCCACTCTTATTGTGTTGAAGAATCCGCGACTCGCTGAAAATTCTCGGACCCATATTTTATGAGCCGACAAATGTTTGTAATATTACTATGCTAACATTTTTCATGTACATTTAGGATTTATTTTTAGATTTCTTTTACAGTAATTTTGTCGTTAATACAATTGTTTGTAGTTTAACACTACGAAAACATAGAAAAAGACACTTTTTATGTTCTGTTGTATGAAAATTGGATAACGATTTCATTTTTCATAGAATATACAAAGTAATTACATGATTTTAGTATATTTTCATTATTTACTGTCTCCTGGAGAGTGAGCTTTCTACTGTAAATACAAACATGACAAATCAAACACACGAAAAGTGACTATTTACTCTTTATGTATTTAATTTTTTATCAGAAAAATAACAAAATGGTTAGAAGAATATTTGAAATTGTGAGAACTAAATTTTGTTTATTATCATTTTAAATATTTTATTCTTGTTTTTAATGATAATAATGATACCAATGTCATATGATATTTCTACGTGATATCGTTACGGGTAGTGGACGTTGCTCAATACGTGACCCTTTTCTTTTATGATCCATTCAAAATGACACAAGTATTTTTTATAGAACTTATTGCTTTCAAAACTTATGACTGTTTGAGTATGTGATAAGGAGAGTTATTCTTCTTCTACCAAATTATTTATACGTAAATTCAGTTTAAACAAATGTTCGCTACTCTACAGCTAATATGTCTTACAAACAACTTAATTTTAACATATAATAGAAATAGAACATTATTATTTAGTTATTTGTACATACTTTAACTACGGAGACATTTAAACAAGAAAATATAAATTAATTTAAGTCTTCTTAAAAGGTCATTAACTAGAACCTGTCTGGCAAGTCTAGCTAGTAAAAACTATATTCTTACATAGAAAGGAATGTGAGATTTCAATTAAGATTATGAAAAATCCAAATATGTCTTGTTTGTCTACGAAATAATAACTATTTGGTAATATGCAAAAATGTATATATATTACCGGGGCCACTTTATGAAGGACTGCGAGTGGGTACAGTCCGGGAGGGCGGGACGGGTCAATGGATAGCAGGGTGTAATTCCCTTCAGCATCACCGTTGTCATCCATGTGAATCCAATACCTGTTATGGGTGTGACATATGTAAATAATAATAATATATATATATATACAATAATTTAATTGATTTTACATGAATATAAAATTACCAAATGCTTATATTGTCTTTAGCAAGTCATGAGAGAGAATTCTATGAGAACATCGTTGCAAATATGTCTATAAAAAATACATAAAATAAGTCTATAAAAAGATTTTTTTTTACGCAAGCAAAATGTTTCCCTATTAACTTTTGTAACTTTGCCTCATTGATGACAAGGTTCAATTCATCGAGTCCAAAAATACCTTTCAACTTTTAACAGGATGTAGAAAATTAATACAAATACCTTTTATTTTTTCTCTTAATGAAATTTTTATAATGAATGTTCTTTCGTCGAATAAAATATCCAAAAATAAAAATAAATTTATTAATAATTTTTAAAAAACTCCTTCTTTCGATACGAGCGAAAGATCTAACGAAGTGTTTCACATCGATTTGGTATGAGAAAGTTTAAATTAACTTTTAAAGTCTATTAAACTTATAATTTGATATGAAGTTGTTAAAAAGTCAGCCACTCGTAGAAAATTTACTAATATCATAAATGTGAGTTTCTAAGCGTAAAAACCCTTCCACATAAGCACAAATTTTCACAGAAAATAGATTAAATTTTATATAAAGAGATGATCCAAAGGGAATAATTACTATTAATTCTATAAAATATTTTTCAATTTCACATAAAATAAGATAGTAAAGCTGATATTGTTAATTTTATTTCTACAAGCAATAATCTAATATACACAAATCATGTCCCTATTTAAAACGATTATTTATGTTTATTTATTATAGAACCATCTTGATAGATAAAACAAAGCATTTCGTACTCCAAGATATAATACTTAATTAATATTATTAATAGTTAATGATATAGTTTGAGAAGTCCCAGACGGACAGAACTGTGTCTGTATGCACGTGTGTTGAATAACAATAACTTTACACTCTACAAGTACATATCTCTCATGGTAGTAACAGACTGGTATATGAGTACGTCTCAGGCATACTAACATGTTACGTAACTTGAAACATATTTAAAATACTTTGTTATCTTCAAGGTAGTCTAAGAGTCACTAATGAAGTTCATTAATCGTCTCTCATTGCAAAATTATAGCTGTAAGATCAGCTCTTGTACTATTTTACTTATCGTCATAAAATTTTCATGCATTTTTTATTGCTATTCATGTTATATTAAAAAAATACGTGAATTATAAGGTAGGAATTCTCGTAATTTTTGAATTAAGTATAGTTTACAAGTATACGTACCCCATAACACTACGGTATGTAGTGTTTCTCATACGTAAGGCTATAGCGCGTCCGTCCCTCGGAGCCTCCCCTGTCCGCAGCGAGTCGGCCAGCGCACGCGCATACAACCACACCGCGTCGTGAAGCCACGCGGCCTCCACTGGGATCTTATTAGATTATATAAACAATTCTATTTCACACATTCATATCAATAAATAGTCTTAATTAATTTTTGTTTGTTTGTTGTAAATATGAAACAAGGTCGCTTTAAATATAAGTATTTAAAATAGCCATAACTTTTTACAGCTAACCAACAGCAATGATAAAAAAATTCGTCAGTACTTTTAAGAATTTAGTAAAAAATACGAAATGAATAAGTATCACGAAATAGAAACATTTCGGAGATTCCAATTAATTTTATCAGTTTGTTCCAAATGTCGGGCTTAGGAAATAATAATCTTCTTACTTATCCTATGTTCTAATAAACTTCAAAGAAAATTTGAAATATAATTTTAATTGCTCAACATGATATCACATTTGGCGCACACTTTAATTCTGTATCGTCATATTTTAGAACGGCCTATAAATCTTGGCACGGCCCAGTTAACGTTTCTAGGAGTGGTATCATTTATTTTGGCAATTTAACTATAATTTATTTTGATAATATTATTGAGGATGCTTTCAAAATATGTGTATGTCATGTCTATTAATTTACACTCCTTAACACGTTAGCGGGCCGTAAAATGATGTTCTGTAACCAATATGACTCGTAAACCCGAATCTAAAAATGATTTACAAAATTATGTTATAAAAGCTATAAAAACGTAGCATTTGGAACACTTCCATATCTAAGAGGTAATAGGAAAATATTGATACTATATCAGACTTCAATTTCAAATAAGACATGACTTAAAAACGTTTACTACCTTTATAATGTTTAATACTTTCCATCTTCATATTTTCTTTAATTTCTCAATGAAAATTCATTTTTTGTATTTTAAGTTGTAGATTTTAGTATAAATCTTTATTAATATGTATTTGTTAATAGATCTACTAGTTTGTGTGTATCGAGACGAAAGTGAGAAAGTTTAATTAAGTAGTGTTAAAAATTAAATGGCAGTAGACACATATATATTTTTATATCGTTTTTATCTTACTATATTAATAAGAATGCGATGTCTCGTGAAGCAGCTATTATACTTATTCTATTAGAAAGACGATAAGTCCCTCATTAATATTCATAGCGTACAAGTAAAATAAATTTACTCTGTCAGTAATTGCGCGTCGAGAACGATCCTATTGGTACAATAGATATAAAATAACAAAAAAACTATTTTGGTACTTACAACTTTACCTCCGCCGAGAGCTAGCAGTGGATTGTTAAAATTGAATGGAGGCATCGTCAATCGTGAGTTGACTTCCTTAGCGAAGGCGGGGTACGAGGGTCCCGCGGAGGGTGCAACAGCTAGATAGGAACGGAAGGCTCTCATGACACGAGGTTCAGGCTCCTTCCTTAACGGACCAGACAAATATCTGATGGCCTCGTTAGGGTCATATCTATCTACATCCACTCCAATAGCGGCGTATTCCCCTACAATAGAGAACCCCATTGATGTTTTCATACTAACCATGTGACGATTACAAAATGTATAAGCTTCTATCCTTTTTATTTTTTGAGTGTATTAAGCTTATTAACTAGTAGTATTAACAATTACTTTAATTCCTATTACATTCGTTTTCACGTTATCAGTTTCTTTGTTCTAATATTTCATATTTTGCCGTTATAACCAATGTAAGAGAGCAAGGTAATAAATAGTGCTTATTATGCTTAAACAAGGTACAAGTTCGTCATACCATAAAAAATATATATGGACCACTAAACACACACAAAAGTAAAAGCCACAATTTGAATTTTGTATATTTATTCTTAGTTTTATGGCGCCACGAAAACTTTGCCGCTTAGAATTCTAGAGTGATATTGGTACAACAAAGGGATAGACGAATAAATCAAACGGCTCATAAAAATTATATGCGCTCATACTTTTCACACGAGGTGAAATATCACGTCCTGTTTATTATGATCAATGGAAATATTTTTATTCCCTCGGTACATTAACTGATTAAGCATTTATCTATACTACATAATATTATAAAGCTGAAGTGTGTTTGTCTGTTTGAAAGTGCTAATCTCCGAAACTACTGGTTCGAATTGAATAAATCTTTTTGTGTTGGATAGTCCACTTATCGAGGAAGGCTGTGGGCTATACAAAATCACGCTACGACTAATAGGAGCAAAGACATAGTGGTAAATATGTAAAAAACGGGAGAAATTATTTCATCTTTGAAGCTTTCCGTTGCGTGCGCCGTGAAAACGGTTCAAGATACACAAAAAATATGTGTTAAAGAATAAAAGCTCTTTTAATGATCTAAAAAACAGTTCGCGACAGTATATATCTATCTTTTAAGATTAACTCACAAAAACCGTTTTTTTGGTACCTAATTTCTTCGAAATAATTTGTTTAAGTTGTATCATCATAATAATATTAATCTTTTTTCAAATAAACAAATAAATATTTTGTTGGTTAAGAGAACTTCATTGTGAACAAAAAAAGTATAGGTTTTATCCTGAAAATTCTACGGGAACTCGACCATTCCGAAAACCCCGCAAGAACGGGAACTATGTGGGAAGAACCAAAAATCTGCCGGAAGTCACTATTCACACTATTAAGTTAGAATTGGTTTCGAATCTTCGAGATGTTAGAATAATATCAAAAGACGTAGCTACTTATAATTTTCATCCGAAGATTAACTATTCAATGTAAACTGCAGACTGTATCGTGTATCGTGTAAACTGCAAACTGTATCGTGTAAACTGCAAACTGTATCGTGTATCGTGTAAAGTGCAAACTGTATCGCGTAAACTGCAGACTGTAACGTGTATAGTGTAAACTGCAAACTGTATCGTGTATCGTATAAACTGCAGACTGTACAGTATATACTACTGCACTGTATATACTTCATACAAAAATCTTCTCAAAAAGAGAAAGCTTGAAATAATGCATCATTATTAAAAAAGTGCGCAAATTCATAAACACAAAAAAAATATTACATTTGATAAAATTGATAGGAATTATTTGTACATTTTAAAAATCTACTTTATTTTATAACATTAAAAACTATTTTAATATCCAGAGTCTCAATGTTTAAGTTTTCATAAAATATATATTTTCATTTAAATAAAGTCTCATCCAAATGACCAATAAATTCAATTGCCATGATGATTTTTCTTTTTTAACTAGGATTTTTTAAATAACCATTTCAAGTCTCTTCTACCTGGCAATTTCCCAGCTTTAGCCAGGGTCTGCCTTACATGTTGTGAAGAGTTTTGGCTAATTGTTTTTACGACCGGCCGCCTGCCTGTCATCAACCCTCTTTGAAAATAGATAACCATTCCAAGTAAAGGTTATAATTATACCTTATAGTAATTGACTAACCTATAATACATATAATCAAATTAATTTAACGTCTTAAAATGTAAGCAAAAATACAACTATTATAATTTATAATAATATATATAAAAATGAATTGCTGTTCTTTAGTCTCACTAAAACTCGAGAACAGCTGAACGAAATGTTCGTGGAGGTTCAGGGAAGGTATAAAAGCTGAAAAACATTGATTCATTACTGGGAAAACCATAAAAACAGCCCTTTTCTATTTCCCATTCAAACGGTTTTTTTTGACATTAGATTTGACAACTAACTAGTATGTCAATCATTCTGTCGCACTTCAAAACACGGAGATTTATGGCTTACTCCAAAAATTAATTAAAAAAAAGTAATAGATATTTCCTGATTATAGGGCGATACGAAGTTCGCCAGGTCTTCTAGTATTAAATATAGTTGGACAGTAAAATACATATTACTCACCAGAATTAAGAAGTTTCATTGCGTCCAAAGCCAACATGAGACCTATGTGGTCATGATAGTAGCCGATTGAAACGTAAACTGGAATAATCATATATTTTAATAGCCAAATAAAGTTTTAATAATAATAATTTTCTTATAATGAATCTTACTCCTCGTATCCTTATATGTTTCTCGGACGATGTCTAAAAATGGATTTCGCGAGAAATTATCTGGTCTATTGTCATAGTAATACGGCTGGCGGTAGACTTGAACCGTTCGGATAGTTATTTTCTTTTCATTCGCTGCTGTTATTATTGCGTACGCGAGACGAGAGAAATCGTGATTCTGCGCCTTGAGGTACACTATGGCTATCTGTTACAGAAATAACATACTTTTCGAATAAAATTGACATGAAAATAATATATTAATTGTTATATAATTGTATATATTATGATTACATGCATGAAATTGAAATGCGTTAACACGGCGACCACGGACCGCGATATGTCTATGTCGGATGGACGAGTTCTGGCAAACGTTGAATACACACGCTTGTTGGAGTTGGCCACGTCCCTGCAATACTGGTGGAAAATAACACAAGTATACATACTACTTTCAATATTATAAAAAAAATTATATAGGTATATCATACTACATTTTATTTCGTAGTAATCTGATCTCGGAAAACCGATATGATATTAAAGTAAAGCCAAAAAACATTTGTAGATTTCTTTTAAATATGTACTTGAGAAAGTTTCACATTTATTATTATTCTATAAAAGTACTGATAGCAGAATAAGATGAGATTGAATGTCTTCTTATTCCTATTTTATTTATATACCGTGACCTGGTGTGTTACTCACATAACTTATCATGGGAAGGTTGAAGGCTGCGGCCATACGACCCTCGTGCACGCAAGTTTCTTGAGGTCCAATGAACGCTGATACATTGGCAGCCCACAACGCTGCGACCTGGGTTTATTAACGGTAAACATACTTAAAGGTCTACATTATATTAGTTTGTAAATTAAAGTATTAAAAATTTAGTAATATTGAAGTTTTTTATTGAAATACCCTCAGTTTGAATCACTCGGAGTTTTGTTAGAAAAAATATAAATATTGTCAGGGATTCAAAAATTAACTTTTTTTGTTATTTTAGTATTTATAAATACAAGTGATTTTAAATTAATATGAAAGATTCTAAATGGATTTCTCAAATAATCCTGATTCTGTTTCAGCACCATAAACGGAAATTGTCACATAAGAGCTTCACTCGAGCTATGTCGTACGAAAAATTTCATTTAATTAATTAATCATAACCTTAGAATATTATAACATTTTATAAGACAATTTTTATTCTCGGTTAAGTAGGTAGGTATAGTTGTAATTTTGAGAATTAAACAAGTCTACAACCATCAGTATTTAAAAAGACCATCTTTTTATATGTATAAGAATAACATATTATTTCCTAAATTTTTTATATACAGTTATTTCGAATGTACTTAAAAAAAAATTTGTTTGTTTAAGAAAACCTTGTTTTAAAAAAGAAAATACTTTTTAACTTTTTTGACACCTTTCCAATCCTACCTAGCAAGATTAAGAATCAAACTCATTCAAAATTTTGTTTGTCCAGCCATTCACGAGGACTTGTTAAGAAGGATAGAGTGAGAGTGATAAAAAGTGATAACAAAAAAATATTTTATTCAAATAAAAACCATCAATACACGCATTCCGAAAATACAACACTTAAGTTGTCAATTTTTTTTTACAATAGTATCGTAAACAGGGACTTCAAATAAGTCAGTCATTTTAAATCTTGGCTCGGATATCTAAAATTATTTTCAAATAGCAACATTCGTAATACACAGATACGTTAACAAGAAAACAATCTCTTTTTTTCAACAATCTCTTTCAATTTATCTATTAAATTGACCACAAAACTGTAATATATCTGTCAAGTAACCTTTACTGATGTCACCGCAACAATCTGCCATTAACGTCGCATATGACAGTTTATGTAAAAGAAAAAGAAATTGTATCGCTAAGAAAGCATGAGATCAAATAAAATGTTCAAGAAAATATATTACCTACTATAATTTAGGTTATTAACAGAGATACAATATATAATATTAGCTAGTATAAATCAACTAACCTCAAAGATTTTTAACCTAAGACAAAAATGAAGGGTTATTTTGTCTTTAAGTCATTGATTATAAAAAAATGTACTCTGTATTTGCAATAAGTAAAACGAAACGTAATCAATCTACTGTGAAAGCGGCTTTTAGATGAAATTGTCGAAGTACTATTATTACGTTAATGTTCCCTTTATTTTCTACAAGAATAATATAAAGCTAAAAGCTTTTAAGGTTACAAATATAGAAATAAAATGTTTTATAAAAGGGCAATGAAGAAGTTATTTATTTTAGCTTATAAATTAAATTATGAACTTTCGGTTATTTAATGTAACCATTTATTATAATAAATTGTAGCACTTGTGTACAGGCTATCTGACTTTTATTTCACATTATTATAAAATATTTGAGTACAAAATTCGATGTCTCAATTTAACTGATTTTTCAGTCCGACTTTGAAATAATTTTCTTTCTAAAGATAAGAGAAAAAGCCGCAATTTACATTCCAATTATCAGTAAGATTCGCTGGGCTGGGCTCCGTGGGTGGTCCTAATTTATTTTCTTATATCTTTGAAAGAAATACGTTGGATTCACAAATTGTTATAAAAATTATTTTTATCGGTATTAAAGTTGTTGCTTAAAACAGGTTTTGATTTTAATCGTATTGATTAAGCTGGATATTATTGTTTATAAAAGAAAGTGAGTCAAGTAGGGATATCGGGTACGTTGAGTGAATTAAACTAATGAGTTGTCGATGACTCCAGTACTCGCTCTGACTACTGATGTTTGTTACTGGGTCAGTGTAAGGAACAATGCAATTGAATTATTTCTGGATTGCATTGAAACGATGAATTTTGTTCATCTTCACTACGCTTTCGAATCAATTAGCAATTATCTAAAAGGAACTCGCAATTCATAGACTTTCATTAAATGTTTAAATTCCAATGTTATTATTAAAAAAATATGCTTTTTTATCAATTATAATTTTTAATTATTTTATGTCCGTGTAATATTTATCAACAAATTAAAAGATATAAAGATACAAAATAACAAATAAATTTTTGTATAATTGTTAACTTAATAACTGAAATTAATCGGAACTCCATATATAATATCAAAACAGTTGTTATACGTGTTAATAAAATAATGTGACGTTTATTAGTTGGGACAGTTCGCCATACGGGGAATAAAATGACGAGAGCAGCGGCACAATTAATTCCTTTTATAATCCTTGTACAGCCAAAAATAAGATTAAATTTTTCATTCACACAAAGAAAAAGTCTAAATCTTCGTTACATGTTACTATAAATTCTAATACATATTCCGGTTAGATTTATTCAATACCTTTCGATTCTAGATATCGACTTAATACTCCTAATTTATTGAAGTTCTAAGCCTTGTGATATATTACGTATTAGATTATATTAAAACGGATTCAGATAGAAGAACATTATTCAAATTCGTTTATTGCTCATGCATTACAAGGCTACCAAAACAGAAAATGTGACCTTAAAGCTTTCACAATTTTGGTTTTTATGATACAAAGATCGGAGGTTATTTAGTAACTCGAATTATAAGAAACTATTAAAAATATTTAATAATTAGTGTGCGGAATCCTTTAGCACAGAGACATAATATGTTATTATAATTAACCTACAATTCTTATAAGCGATACGAATGCGAAACTTTGTTAAACAGTTGCATGTGTGAATGTCTTTTAATCTTATGGGTCATACACTACTTACTAGCAAATTCTTATGGAAGTATATTTATATATTGGAAAAAAAACATGTATCTTAGTACAAGTTTTTTGTCGCAAATTTAACCCTCTAATTATTATTTGGAAGTATTTTTTATATATTTGTCATTTGATATATTCGTATCTCTGAAATTTACCTATAACAAACAAAAAATGATCTTCGTAATTAGATGACACTAACTTCCACTAAAGAAACGTACATAGCTTATGTAATAGTTTATACATTGGTAAAACATAGATTATGAGACTAAAACCACACTCATAATAATCTAAACAGTGTATGTAACTATATTTTTAAATACAAAATACTCTCTAGTTTAATATAACGAAAATTAACAAGCTTGAATGTTAAATGTTCTTTGTTCAGAAACTTCTCACCTTTAGTTCGTTGACATTTGTTAGCATTTATAAATAGTCTATTATGTGCTATTACGTGTAATGTGACGTTGACATATATTTACGTGAACTCATTCATCAAGCTCCATATTATTTGTAATTCAACTATGATAGATGCAAAAAACAAGCTCTCTTGATATATTCCAATTATCGAATGAAAAGTTTTATTGATAGTCGTTTCAATAAGAGATTATACAAACGCAATGACCTTATGTAATTATTTGTCATTTGCTTTTGATATTATTATATAGATATACTAGAAACAACCATTCCACTTATATACATGTAATATATGTATCTGTTTTCTGTACACAAAAACTAACTTGCTTGAAGCCTTAAGATAAAAAATAATTTCAAATATTAAAATGTCGCTTTCACTGATATAGGAAATATGTATATATGAAAAAAAAATATATGAAGATATTTCAGTGTTATTAGAAGACGACTGTTGGAATTATATCATGAAATTTATTACAATTACATTTTATACAATAGAATACCATTTATTAATACGTATATATTTAGGTATTTTGAACATTTATTTTTTCTATTGTTAATTTTTTAATAATTGTATTCAAGGGCTTCATAAGTATATTTCAGAATTTTGACATTCAATAATATCGTTTATTTTAATCTCATATATGTAATCACTTTACTGTTATATTTCATAGCAATAAGGTCAACAGTTTTTGCGGGGAAGATTCAGTTAAATGAATTATTACATAATTATTAATAATGGTAATAGGATCTACTTGTAAGAGGTGTTTTAATTTGTAGTTCATTTTATGGTTTTGTAGTAAATTATATATTTTTTTATTCACAGTTTACTTAAGTTTTAATATATTTTTGCAATGTATATAATATACAGGGTGACTGGTGAATTACTATCGATATTTGAGGACGTGATATTTGACGATCATATATGACAAAATAAAAATTAATATAACATTAAATATTAATAAACTTCTAAGTAAAGTTAACCAAAAGTTATGTAATTAATTACGCATCATGTGAACACCCTACAGATTAGGTATACACACACACACACTCGCGCGCGGCGGCGTGTTGTTGTATCAGCACGCCGCCACACGCGTCCACACTTGGAACGTGTCAACACTTTATTTATTTCTACGGAAATTTGGTCAAAAATTAAGTACCTATTTTTTACATAATTCGAATGAGAATCATGTACCGAGTATGCTCCTTAAATATTGATAGTAATTCACCAGTCTCCCTGTATAAGAACGTACAATTTTTAACTATACTACTAGTCTAATTAATCATATTTTGTATGAAGTTGATTGATTGAGATGTACCAGAACAAAAATTGCCTATTGGTCATTATACCAATTTATTTTGCGCGTATGATTCGTTTTTTCTTAATCTATACATATTTAATATATACATTTTTTTTCGTTTAATCGTTTATAACTGCAAATAAAAATATGTAATATAAAATGTTATTTATTTAAGTGACAAAAATATTAAAACGGCCGATCAGTGAACATACATACATCCAAAAACTATAATTTCATTCAAATATGTACTTACGAAAATAGATATCATTATAAATAAATACATGTTTTAATAAACACTTTAAATTTTAATCTACATATAAATGTTATAAAAGTAACCCATTAGTGTTAATAAAAATAATTAATATGTTTTTGAATAAATTTTTATATATACTAATAAAATAATTGTATAAAATCATACCTGTCGTATCGAAACTTCTTCTTGGCCGTATGTCTCAGCGACAACGAAGTCTAATGAATGGCCCATGGGAGCGAGAAGTTTTTCGTTCACTTCATCTACTGCCATGGAAATTGCTCCTGTTAACGAATTTCATGATCAGAGAAACTTTAGCTTTAAATAAAACTTTCTGTTCCAATTAGTGTATTTTTTTCTGAAATAATCTTAAGTAAACAACTCATTTTTTTTTTTGATTCTCTAGAAAAATATGAAAATACAGTTATTGGATTTGATTTTGTTTTAATTTACTTAAAGAATTATATTGACTAGCAGCTAAGAACACCAGGTTCGAATTATTTAGTAAAACCTTTAAGAGAAATAGTAGATTCGTCAAACACATTTTAATTACATATATCACTAGTAAGACCAACATTGGTCTCAAATAACACCAGTCACAAACAAATTGAGAAGGTTTTTATTTTTAACATGCAAAGTTTATTTAGTATACTTAATCAACTCAAAAACTGTATTCTTTATAATAACATGATACATTTGGTTGGCCACCACTTTATAAACATCGATCGGTTGCAATACGTCATAATCTCTTTCAGCAAAATGATTTTATAAAAGCTGTTTATAAAACACTGTATGATTGACATGTACTTATAAGATACACCGTTCCTTTCGTATACATTATACGGTTATGAAAACAATTTATTTTTGTACGTAAAATAAAATATCTTTATATTTTCTTTATACATCAAGGGATCACTGAATAGGGAGTCAGGAAGGAGGCTGTGAGGTCGAGATAACAGTGACGAGATTCATATAAAATTCTTTGTCAGAATAAACCTCGTTGATTCAAGGTAAAATATGCGGATAATTTGATGCAATTATGTTTATATGTTGTTTATAATTGAATGTTTACCTGATATAACTCTGCCGGGCATTTGATAATTCAGGTCGCCTGGCCGTCTTTGTGACCCTGTTAGGTATCCGAGTGTGAACTTCTCCCCATGGGATGTGTCCAGGGTAACTAATAATATGAAGCACCAGTGCCACTGTGAACAAAACTTATATTAAAAATATTATACAATGTATAAAATTATTAACCTAAATTATCTAGCCATTTCTAACTTTTGGTAGACTGAATGAAAATGTTAACATAATAATCATGAAAAATATAATGCATGAAAAAGTACTGAATAAATATATATTACACATCAAACATTTGGTTTATTTCTTATACTTATATTAGGTACGCACCTGAAACTTTACAGTACTAAATGAATCTTCACAAGTTATAACATATATGAATATAAAGTACTGAGACCTACCCATACGACATACAATCTGAACTATGGTCAGCAAATGGGGATAAATATTATTTTATTCATTGGATGCAAGGATATATGATTGTGTGATGACCCGTACTAAGTTCTAATTTGAAGTGATCGTCGCCAACTGTTCCGACACACGTGCGAGAAACATTTTTCCAATATTGTCCGCTCGTAAAGTGCTTTGAAGTGCAGATAGCTACGGCATTTAAACGCACGCTTCATACTGCTATACAGCTTGGTTATAACAAGAGATTTATTACTGACGGAATCGTTTGTACAACTTCTAATATTTAATTAAAGTTCTATTTGAATCTGTCGATATATGTCAAGTAAACATTTATAACTTTTGTAGCTTGATTATGGAATATCAATATGATTTGCCTCAAGGGTAGGTTACAAACAGTTTTCTGTATACAACAATTTACATAATATTTACCATGTATGTTATAACGAATATTCCAATTGAGTATTTTATTAATTGAATCAACTCAACGTGTCATTGATTTGTATGATCCTTTGCGCAATGATATAATATGTTAAGGCAACATTATCGAGCACCGAAACTAGTTTGCGTGTGACAGGTTCAAGAATGTATATGTACTAGTTGCTTCAGACAGCTTTGCTCGGACGGGGCAGACGTGGATTTTTAAAATTTTCATTAAAATGTATGACAAAAAAAGAAAGAAATACTTAGAAATTTTTTCGGTTTTTTTAATATGGAAAAAGTAGAAGTAAAAATAGTATATTTATTAAAGAATATTTACAAACATCCGTAAACACATCAAAACTTATATACGTGCGCGTTAAAGTACGCCTTGAACTGTATTGTGAAAGTAAACATCTCGCGATGGTAATTATAGTCCAACTCGAAGTATCTTCTGTTATACTTTAAGGGCACATTTGGAGAATTTTCTAAAGGACTTCATTGTGTCCAAAAAACTCAATATCACTTATTAAGTGACTTTTTACTCATCATCATAAAATCTAAAGGAAATTGATACCAAGCAAAAAATTATGTCAGATTTCAGTTTTCGTTAAAATACGAAAAGCTTTTTGTTTCAACGCTAATAATATTTTGTTACTTAAAAACTGGGTATAATTAATGCTGAATTTGGCACGCGGTTCAAACTAGACATGGGACATTTTGTAGTTTATTGTTTAAAAATAAAGCCGGTGGGAGATATTTATAAAACTATGACCCGGTTAAGAAATCGTGTTTCATTAAATAGGGTTTAGTATTTGTATAATAAACATAAATGTAACATTGGTAGTAAACTTGCAATTTTACATATATTTGCGTAGGATGTAGATACATTTTACATGCCAAGTGCAGTATTTAATTTATTTTTTCCAATAATATTGCCATTTTATGGAAATCAGAATGCAAATTAAAGATATTTGGAAGTATTTATGTGTATTTAAATTTTAATTTCATAAAAAAACTTCGTTAACAAGAGAACGAAATTTGGTACAACTTTTAAGATTCACATGATCAAGTCTCAATTCCGACAAAATTCTGAAAGTTCTTTTATCAGAAAAGTTCCGCTAAAATCAAGTGGAACATTAAATCAAGTGAATCCACTTGTAAAACAGCTAACAAATTAGAAGAGAAAATTCTAAACCTTCAAAGAAAAGTTTAACTAATTAAAGTTCTTTAATAGAAAAAAATTAGTTTACAGACGATTTGTTGTAAAGAAAGTTAGTAAAAAGACTTGGTATATAATAAATTAATGACAATTATTTTTTTCATTTCATATAAATTCATTATGAAAATGTATTTTTTTCCGATTTATACTAATTTTTAAAAATCCTTTTTAATTTAATGTAAAATAGAAAAGTAAACCTCGTATTCAGAACTAATATACTATTCCCAAAATGTTATCGTGCAATTATAAATCAATACAATTTAAAGCATCCCTATTTGTATAATCAATGTTTTGTAAACAAAATTAAATAGCAAAGTGGAATGAAAGAAATTCGGCAACAATCTGAAAAATGTTTGCTCGGGATGGTATGGAGAATGTACTCATCTCCCAACCCTCTGCCGACACTATCGGAATGTTTACGAAGCGTGATTGAAATTTACCCAAGAGCAAGCAATTTTATACTCTTCCGTTGTCAAAGACGTATACGCATACAAAACACATTAACCTGGATACAGTAAGTAATTCGAGTTGATGATTATAATTGCAAATTAATCGCATTTTAATTTAACTTATTTTTATCATATTTAGTATTGGAATACAGTGTTAAATATATCATGACTCAACTACTAGATGTCCTATATCTGAATGCCACCAGTTTATCTCTGTATAGAAGGGCTATTTGGAAAGCCACTCTAAATATCAACAGAACAATATAGATTACGTTAAAGCAACGAGATTAAAAATACTAAAAATGTTCTATTTATATATGAAAGTATTCATTTCAGATAGGAATTATAAGTATTTTTGTTATAAAATCGAACAGTGAGTAAGCAGACGGTTGATTTCTTGAGTTTTCCTCGATAATAATGTAAATTTGGAGGACTCAGTCTTGATGTTGTTTTCCAATAATCGAAGAGGTCGATAAGAGTTAATGTTGATAGTGCAGCGGTATTACTACGGCATTGACATAGTTGCCGCGTCACTTCGTCAACGATCCGCGCAGAAAGTACTGTGGACACTCGCAAAACAGGCCCTTCTTGATAATAAGTATAATTTGTTTATAGATACATTCAAAACAATGTTTGAATGTACATACTAAGAACTACTAAATATTACTACTACTACTAAGATATTTACAATACATGAATGTGAGAAGTTTGTGTCCCTTCAATGTGTAGGTACATATACTACTTAATATATTTTTATAAACGTTTGTTTCGAGTACTTTGAAAAATTATGTCATGAATTTTCTTTATATTTAAATGAAACTAATATTGTAGTTTATATTATTTGTATAGAGTATTTTTTTTATATATGTATAGTTTTGGTTTATCCGATAAATGGTAGACGAGCAAAACAAATCAATCTTTGAAAAGACAGCTACTTAGAAAAATAGTTCTACACATAAAACAAAAAGATATAAGCGAAAAACTCCATGACATATTATTTTGTTACTATTACTAAGAATAAAACGACGTACAAACAACTGAATATATGTTTACAATAAACATCACAGTCATAATCAAAATATATAGAAAACAAATAGTATTTACTTCAGTTTATTTCGTTTCTCGGTAGAATAGGGTGAAAAAGAGATGAGGATCGACCAGGGCCTTATAGCCTCTAAATCCGCGCTTGGAATTCTATTAAATTATTCCCGATACGAAAATGCGTGTTCCACTATTTACTATTCAAAGTTTCTTATTTTTATACAATAATAAGATAAAACTATATAAACTAACGGTGTAATAGGAATTATTAAATTATAACCCAATATGAAAACAGTATTAAGTAAATTAAGAACAATTAAAGTTGTGGCTTGAAATAATAAGAAGTAACTTTGTATTATAATTAATAATAACACCGGTGTTGTTTTTGAAAAGATATTCATTATTAAATATGAACAACAAACTCGGGTATAAAGAAAAATTACAAAAAGTAGCACACAACAAAAAGAAATATGTATAAAGTCCTAATTAAGAGCATCTATTAAAATTCTCCTACTGCATAAGTTGAGTTTCCATATCATATAAAACTTTACCGTCCAAATATCGTGTAGCGTTATCGGAGTTGTAGTGAAAAGCATTTCACTTGTATGTAATTTGTATTCACAACAGTTCCTCCCGCAGCGTGTAGAAGGTTTGAACCCGCATCAATAAACAGCGTTGATCCCGGCGCCCGCGCAGCCTTCTCGCCATGTGGCCGCGCCCGATACATAGTAATGCACTGTTAAATGTACTTTTAAACGTTGCTAACTCTGATTTTGGTATTGTTTTAACAAGGTTATTTAGGATTGACTGAAGAATAAAACAACAAAACTTTTTGGACTTGTCTTTACTTTTACTAACTTTTTTACCTGGATTGTTTTTCTTTTATTTTCACCTCGTTTCTCTTAAGTATTAAAATTTATTCTGAAACTTTAACGTTTACTTCCAGTTTTCAATCCTACAAAAATAATCTACTTTCATCTTCCTCGCAAAAGTATATCCTAAAAACAACACTTAGTCGTACATAGAATGGCGCAAGTTCATACATAAATTCATTAAAAATATATATTTTGTACCTACAATAATGTACAAATAACGAGATCACAAAAAGAACTTCTTCTTACTCTTAAAGAAATTGTACTTTTTCTACCTATGTATATGTATGTATTTCTTGTAACTAAGTACTTTGCTATAAAATATTTGACATATATTTGTTATAGTAGTATGGAGTATAGAAATTCAAGAAATTCCCATGTTTATTTATATTTGTATGTCTAGCTTCAATAACTGTTTCGGTAAATTATTTTTTATATAGATCGGTCTATATTTCGGTAAAAAACAAAAAACGGTTACAAATCAGTATTCTGATGTCAAATTATATTGTATAAATTGTTTTATTTTTAAAGTAAGTATTCTAAATTTCTGAACGTATAACGATTACGAAAATAGAACAATGCTACATTAGTTCATTTATATTACATTGTAGAGTCGACAAAATTATTTTTAAAAAACGTTTAGAAAAGTCTTGAAATTGAATTCTTTTAATTTCATTTAAAAAACGATTAAATACTTTTAATGCTGATTTTCCACTTGTTTTTTTGGAATTGAGATTCACAATGTAAAGTAAATAGAAATTTGCGCTGTTTAGAAATTTTACATGGATTAATAGAAATCTTATTTGTAAGTAATTATGCTTGATTTTATTTATAAGACCAACTAAATGAGATCTAAGTCTTTCACGAGTTTTCATTTAAATAAACAATTAAAGATACAACAATGAAACGGCTATTAAAAGATAGATTGAAGAAAAAAGTTGTTTCATACAGATGATTGAATGACTCACTCATACTCGTTTTAATCTCCCTAAGACTCCTTTTTCTTAGAGAAATCTATTTATAAATTGTATATAAGATAAAAGCGCATTCAGCTTCATCGTTTTTCCAGTCAGCATTCTCATATTGTTTAAAGTGTATTTACTTTACTACATATAATGACGCGTGGATTACAAAGAAATGAAAATTCCGAAGAAAATAAAAACACATAACAATACTTTTTTTACGCGACTGTGGGACGAAGACTTAAAGACTTTAATACTTTTTAACGTCATAATGTAGTAATATACAAAATTTTATTGAAATTTATCTTGGAGTTTCGAAAAACTCTAGCGGTATATACGAAGTATAGCTAGATCATATTTGATTATAAATTACTATTTTTAGTTATTTTTATATTTCAAAAAGCGATTTTATGTCTATGTTTAATAGTAATAAATTTTACGATATGTTTGATCTTGTTCAAAGATTGTTGGTATTATCTGTAATAAAAATTTGGATGATCATATGACTGTTTAAATACCTAATAACAATGCGGAAAAATTTATCGCTTTAAGATATAGTTTTCATTCATAATTTTCTTATTCTGTATGCTATGGTTTTCCTTGCGTTTTAGGTTCAGTTTATTTGTAATTATTTACTCATTTTTAGTCAACTTATTGTTAATTAATAAAATTATTTTGATGGAGATATTTTTTTTTCTTTCCTAACATATCCGTTTTCTATAACAAGTGCCTATGCACTACATAATTATAATTTTACCTATTTTTTTCCAATAAAGCGTAAAAACATGAATTCCGAATTCAATATTTTTTTTACTAAAACAATAAATTTATTTAAAAAAAGACGATAATATTTAGTACATAAAGCAACTATATTTAATTACAATTCAATTATATACGAAACATATGTTAATAAATATATACACTGACAAGGCTTAATACAACTTTTTCTGATCCTAAATAAGTTATAGCAATAGTAACATAAAACAGTCCCAGTAAATGTTTAGAAGAATACGAATCTACAATTCAAAAAAATACCTAAAAACACACTTACCATAGCCCACTTCCAATTTATCATTTTTGTTTAAACGACTTTAGATATTGCCACTCACAAAACATGTATTATTCATATTAGATATAACTTTTTATAAGAAAAACACTGTCAATTATTTTCGCGCCATTACGCTAAAGTTGCCGCGTCCGCGTCTTAGATGCGCACAACGTTCACAAACCGTCGACGCTGGTAGACTGACTGTTTAGTGTTTTTACTTTTTACGGCTACGTGTGACTAACACTAACTATATATATTAAGCAGATTATAGTAATTACATAAAATAAATCAAACATTATATTTGAATGCAGTGTAAGGTTAACAGTCAAACAAGCATTTAATGTCTATATTTTGAATGTTTATTATTTTATGATGACACAAACAAACCAAAGATATATTTAAGGACATTTCAACTTTAAAAGTCAGAACCACAAGGTTTATTTTAAAAAAAGTCGTAAAATAACGTGATTGTAAGCATTAAGAAAAGAGCAATTGAAATTTTATTACACCCTAATGTTAGATAAGACATAATCGTCAAAATTCCAGTATGAATGAACACCCAAGTGAGAAGTAAACGGTCAAGGTAAACCACCATGAGTAAAGTATTAACTGCAAATTTGTGTCCACACATGACGTGTTTTATATCTGGAAATTTAATTTTAAAAAAGCAATTTAAAACATATTATATTTTTTTTAATTTCTTTAAAATTACCGAGTAAATTGGATTTGAAATAGATGTATTTTTCTTTTTTTTATTTATATTTTTTGACGTTTAAGAAGTATATAATGTTCCGTGACATGCACACACAAATTAATTAGTTATAAATATATAAAATTTAAAACAAAGTATTTATTGATATATTTTATAGAACATGTATAATATTTTTTTAAGTTATCGTTTTTATAAAATTAAATTGATAGTTCTAAAGTTTTCCTTGGTTAAAGCAATAACGCAACTGAGATCCTGGTCCTGGTAAAAAATATCTGTGCTAAAATTTGTTACATGTCATAGGTACTTATGTAGGTTGGAATTTGTGAGATAATTTGTTACTGTCAGCAACATGCCTGTATACATTGTTTATTATGTTGCAGCTTTTCTCCGAAACGGTACAGATTAATATCTTTTTAATTATTACAATATTGTCATTGAAAAATATATTTTTCATATTTAAGGGAGGAAAAAAGCCACAATGTTAAAAATTGCTTTTAATTTATTAATATAAAACATGGGATAGTGTTTGAAAATGTATTTATATAAAGGAGTTACATATTAAAACTATTTTTTTATATATTTTTTGTTTACATATACAAAATGAATAATTTTTTTTATAAATTATTTTTATTTTTTATTTAGTTAAGAAAAATGAGACATGTGCTTCCAGTATTTAAAGGGGAAATTTTATTAATAAACTAATAAAACACTAATATATTGCGTTTAATATATAAATTAATGTTTCAAAGACTTTGTGAGTGTTATATTATAATACGTGAAATTGTTCGTATAGAAGACAGTAAAAGTAGATAAAATTTTTTTTTATTTAATACTTATTAATAAATGCATGGTTAAAGTTATTTGTATGAAAGTATTATGATATTTGTAGAGAAACAAACTTTACAATGTCATTTCATAGGCGACGATAGTTCGAATAACAAAGAATCTATTAGCTGTGGATTACGGAGTCTGAAAATTATGTGTCAATACAAATTTGAATACCTACTTTCTTTTCGTTAATTTCTTTCGATAAACTAAGTCTAGATTTTCGATTCTTTCTTTAGATACATACATAGAATCGAGCACTCAATATTATCAGATAATTAGAATTCTATTATAGGACTCGATGTTTATGCCATTAAAAAAAATTGTGTCTTGTATGTTTTCGAAGAAGTAAAAAAAAGGAATTTTACACAAAAAATTGCATACATATCATTAGCATTATTTTTATCAACCTCTGGAACACATGGACCATAAAATATGGATATATTATCAATAACTTGTATGAAATATAGTTTGAATATATATTATGTCACATGCATAGATATGCATACGAGTATATTACTGAACCTATTTGGCTTCTGTCATCGGACTCGTAATAGTCTACTTGTACCCACACGATATTATAAATTATTAATTGTTATTTATCAGTTATACCAATGTAGGACCATTTTAATAAAATAACATTTAAACTTTATAACATTTAATTAATATATAAGAGCGGTTTTTAAAAAACAGGGTAAACAATTTTTTTATACACTTATTTACATCATCACAGACGGTATTGCGTATACTTCGTTTTAGCGACTTTAGTGGGAAGATTACTTCAATGTCATTGCACTTTCTGGAAAAAATAAAAAAATACATTTATTATTGAATGCAATTATAAGATTAATATTTTTATTAAAACTTTCTTACTTACCATGGTTATCTCCGGAAATAAAGCGCTTAGGTTAAAGTTAGCTCGAGATGCTACTGGGAAGCTTGCCAAGGAACGATCAGCATTAGCCACGCCCTGCATGTTGGATGGCATTATATGGCTATTAAAGAAATCTGGCTGATACTGAGTTGGCATTTGATTTCCCATATAGTTCGGGAATGGAATTTCATCTGACATTAAATTTTGATGTCGTTTAGATGGCGTTTTATTCTGCCAGAGCAAATGGGAACTGTCATTCCACTCTTCGACTTCATTGGTTAATTTTGGTCTTTTACTTTGATATTTTTTATTGGAATCTTTTTTAGAACATTCCAGTTTATGTTTTGCTGCCGATTCTCTTCTTGAACTCTTGTAATTAGTTGTTTCTTTTTCCTGTTGGAACGTAGTTGTGTTGTTTCTCATTTTTACCTCGTTATATTTGTGATTCGTATAGTTACATTCCATAGATTGGTTATAATCAACAAACTCGCTGCTGAAAGGTGCTCCCGTATAATTTCCCGACATCAAGTTACTGCTTCCCGGCATGAAGTTGGAGTAAAAAGAATTTGATATTGTGTTTGTAGTTGAATTGTATAATGCTGTCCCTGAGAATTGCTGTCCAGTGTAGCTGTTGTCGGAATAGTCAATGATAGATGGAAAATGAGACACTTGGGCGACTCCCGAATCTTGGATATTAAAATCGTTATATTTCTGAGCAGGCATCATAAATTTGTTACTGGAATGGTCTTGTAGTTTTTGATTGTAATTGGTTCCACCACGTATCAAAGCTTCGGCGGAATAATTATTTTTATGTGCCTTTGCATTTTTCTCGGGTTTCAAAGAAGATTTTGATTTATTTTGTAGAAATTGATTTATATTTTCATAAGAGTTAAGTACTTTCGAGTCGTTAAAACCGTAACCCACATTCGTCTGAGATGAAGTCATCGTTTTTCTATTATCATTAACGATATGAGGTAAATTTTGTTTCGCCGCTAAAGACTTTTGATCAGCCATGAGCACATTAGATCGCTGTGGCATATTTTCTGTGCTGCGATTCATTAACTGAGTAACGGATAGGAAATTTCCACAGTTTTGTAAATCGGAATGTGGAACGGATCTATTTAGAATATCAGCCTTTTTCTTGTCATGTGGACCAAGTGCTAGATCTCCAATTAAAGTTGGCAAATTTATTGGTGGCGGATCGATACTTATTTCTGTAGTGCCAGCAGGTCGAGCTGTCGGCCACACTTGAACATCTTCGTGATTAGCTTGAGTTGGGAAATGGTGCATATTGATAGGAAAATAATTGCTTTCATTTTGTGGAATTTGTTTTTTTGGAAGTTGCTCGACGTGCGAATATGGTAATTTGGTTTCTTTCATTTCCGCTGCTGTTTGATTACAATTATTTTGCATTGGTCTTATCTCTGACGTCATCCAATTAATGTGCATTTTGCTAGGAGATTTTTTGGTATATTTTTCAACCACCTGTCCTACAGCAGGCGCCGGCTTTAAGTTGGTTTCAGAGGCACTTTCTGATATATGTTTAGTATCAAACTGTTTGGCTGTGCTTGTTTTCGTATGGACATTTGGTTGTAAATGTTCCACGGGAAAATAATTTTGTTGCTTTGATATAAAATTTTTCGAAACATTACTATTTGTGTATATGGATGAAACTTCATCAGACCATAGATTACCACTTTGGGAATAAAAGTTTGTGATCTGATCGGGGAATGTAGTTGTCTTACTATAAGGTTTTTCTTATTAGAATTAGGAACTAACGGGACGTGGAAGTCTGGATTGAACGGATTATAGTTTGTAGAAAATGGTGTGGACACAGTAGTTAATATAGTGTCTTTATGGAACGTATTTGCGCTTGTAGTACAATTGACGAAATCGAAACTCTTGTGAGACCATCCCAAATCAATGTCATATGTCAGCCTCGATGAATTTATCTTCATTAAATTGTCTTCAACGTTGGTCAGGTCTGGCTTATTTTTGTTTGAATAATTATCCATGGCGCATGGATACAGTCCCAAGCTATTAAACTCATGTCCAGACGATATACTGCTGGTACTATAAATAGTACTCTTAACTGCATTGAATGGTTCACTTTTGTACATAAAATTGTTAGAATTACTGTGCGATGTTGTTACTGTAGTACCAGTTTTAGTGACATGGCAATCGAAATCAATGCCGAATGTAGCATCGGCTAGATTGCAACTGGATGATATTATTGATGGCAGAGGTAAGTTAAGAAATGGATTATCATTAGCGGTGGTTACACTCGATATAGGCGCGGTGACTTTTAGTTCTGTATTTTTTTGATTGCTTTCATATTTCTGTTGTTCGGCTACCTTGTTGGTATTTTGAACTGTGGCGACATTCTGTTTAATGGGAGCTTTCGTTTTACTATCTGATGTGTTAGATTTATCAAAGTATGACACCGGCTGGGTTATTTCAACGCGTCGATTGTCCTTCGCATTTGTATTATTAGCTTCTTCAGCAGGGCTGTCAGCTCTGTTGCCACTCACTAATGGGAATGACATCAAAAAAGCAGCTGTTGGTGACGCAGCTAAGAATTCCTCTGCTAATTCTAATCTCGCATTACCACCATCGACGACATTTTCACAAATGGTTGGGTCGATTATAGGTGGCAACTTATTATCCTTGTTTTTGTATTCAGCGCCTAAAGTTTTCTCAACAGGAATTTTGTCACATTTGACATTATCCACAGAGACTGTTTTTGGTACATTTTCTGGATGACATGGAAGATTGTTTGATGCTATTTTAATGTTGTTTTGCTTATCAATTAATGGTTCTACTGTTTTGGGCGGTTCTGTAATTTTATTTATATCGACAGTTTCTTCGGAAGATAGATTATTGTTAGTCTCACAGGCAACTATGCTGGTATCGTTTATGTTTGGCGCTTCTTTCAGGCTTGGTTCTTTAATTGAATTTGATTGCTCGTTTATTTCGGCAGTAGTTTCTGCGTCTGAGACTTTCCGGTCACTAGCGGGTTTTTCACTGTTGTCTGTATTGATTTTATCATCAGGCTTTTCTTCATGTTTATTATTTTCTACAGGAGTATCATTAGATTTTGCTTTTTTACCCCCTTTCTTAGGCGAATTACTTTTCCCCTTATTACCCTTTTTTGATTTCAGAGCTGACAGTGGACGTGAATATGCCGATATTGGTAATACATTGACCATTGTTGTTCTAGTGATGTCATTAGTATTTCTATTGATAACTGGGATTGTTGTTGGTTTGTTAAGTGTTTGGAGATTTGTATCTACCAAAACTATAGTTGGCGGTTGAGGAAATAATACTGGCCGTTGGGGGAATATATATGGTGTAGCTGGCAACATAACAATAGTGTTTTCTGAAAAAAGAAAAATAAATAATGTGTTGAGTTCCTTTATATTCTAATTATATTAAATTATTGATTAATTGATTTATCATCTAAATTTACCTTTTTTCATATTTGTTAGTGGCAGTAATTTTGGTAACTTTGGTGGATTTTTGTTTAATGTATTTGTGTCTATCTTAGGTTTTGTTTTTTGTGTTATCGTTTTTTCCTTTTCCTTTTCTTTTTCCTTTCCATTATTCTCTTTTGATTTTTGAAGCATTAATAACTTTACATATTTGCTATCTAAAATAGAAATAACTTCTTTTTTTCAGGTGACTACTTAATTTAATGTTGGAATGAATTACAAAAAGTGTAAACAATTAAAAATATGTAATTATTATTTTAATATATGCCTTAAATAGTTTATTATTAATAGTTTATTATATTTAATATATGCCTTAAATAGTTTGTATAAGATCAAAACAGGATTATATAAAGAAAAGTGTTTTCATTTTAAATATATTTTCTAGATACTCACTTTGACTTTTTTTGTTTAAACCTATTGTTACTTGAAGGGAGACATCTCTTTTATTTTGCTTTTGTTTCTCAATGGCTTCTAATTTTACCTCTAAAGCTAGAATTTCAGCCTCTGAAATAAACAAAAAATGTCTTATATGGTTTGATAAGTTCAGAAGTAAATATCAAAAGATGTACAAATATACAGATTAATACATACTTAATTGTGTTTTTTCTTGCATTATATTCGTCAAGCATATAATTGCTTTTTGAACAATTTCTATTTTTGGGTAGTTGGCATTGTCAAGCTCTTCACCGTTCATGTTACTGTTTGCTTTGTGTATAGATTTGACGATATCTCCAAGTTTTGATATTGCATCATTAAATTTTATACGCCTTTGCTTTTCCCATTCTCTACAGCGGCTGTAAAATTAAACTTTTGCATTACAAGAAAGTCATAGACAGCTACATGATTCGTGATGAATATTTGATCTCAATGAATAATAAAAACATATATACATTAATTAGGAGACAGAAAAACACACACACGTGTTTCTCTTGTACCAAATATATAAAAATATTATTAATTCTATATCTATACAATAATTTCTATTCTGAGGTATAAAATTTAGTGTATCTCTGTTTTTAGAAGACATACTCGAATAGACTATATGTGTTAGAATAAAATTAGCAATTTTTTTATGTTTAAATTATGATTTCGTATATGCTTAATCGCTATTAGCAAAGTGAATTGTAATTCAGATTTAACTTCATAAAAAAGCGACTTCAATACATTGATTTGTTTATTTTTTACCTTGGAGTACGTTTTTTATTACTAGAAGGTGGATCCATAATTCAAATATTTCTCAATGTACAGGTTTATTTTATATTATAATATGTAATCAATATAAAAACATTTTTGGGTTTTTATTTCCTAGATACTAGATAGTCAACATAACTTTAATTGACATTTGAGTTTTGACACTGACATTTAGCAGAATATGTTAACAGAGTTGAAAAAGTGTATATTAGTCACTAACCAGTACTATTAACTGTGGTAATATTAGAATTAGTGACATCAGTGAAATATTTTGAAAACGACATTACAACACTTAGAGATATAATAAAAAACCACTCTTTCGAATGTTATATATTTAATTTCTTTTTTTTTATCATCCGCCTGTCTTGGCAGAGTTATTAAAAAAAATATATCTATACTGGTATACGTCAAAATATAATGTCGTAATGTGACATTTGTGCTGGGAAATAACAGATTAATAAAAAAAAACTACTGTGGTATTGTAAGCGCTAGTCGGTACACTCTGTACTCTGAAGTCTGAAGTATCAATTTACATTTTGAAAGTTAAAGTTTTTGTTTGTGTCTCAACTCTCATATTACACTGTTAAAATTCTTCTTCGGAAGCGTAATATTGTATTGTTTGTAACTGTCAGCCATTTGTGTTAATTTGTTATTTCTTCGTGGTTTCTAAGCCACACCTTGAAGTTACTACAAAAATATAATTCTGTCGCAATACTTTCAACTTTATTTCCTATTGTTTAAATTGTGAATTAACGATATAAAAATGTCGCTCTACCCATCGCTAGAAGATATGAAGGTAGACAAAATGGTTAGAGCTCAATTGGCTCAAAATCAAGCTCCATCGGGCTATCCTCCTGCTTATCATCAACCAGGATATCCTCAGATCACTGCCGCTACTCCTAGTGTCCCAACATCGATGTATCCGGCGCTGGGCGAATATATGGGACTGGAGCTATCTCATGATGTTATTGCCCTAAATATGCCCGAATATCAAGTGCAAACTGTAAGTTCGTAATTCATTTGATTTAAGAAAAGACGTAAAAAATTCGAATTAAAGCTAATAATTATTTTATAGCTTCAAGCTGGAGGAACAGGAAGTAATTTAATTGCTCCACTTTCGTCTCAGTCACCTAGTCTGGCAAAGGCTATAGTGACTCATGGGATAAGACAAGTCATTATGTGTAAAGACAGAGATGGCAAGTGCGGTTTAAGACTTCACTCTGTTAACAATGGTGTGTTTGTATGCTATGTTGCTGCTGGGAGCCCAGCAGCACTCGCCGGTTTAAGATTTGGTGATCAAATCTTGGAGATTAATAATGTTGCTCTAGCTGGTATGTCTATGGATCAGTGTCATGCTATACTAAAAGAAGGCGCCCACTAATGGCATTACAATGGCTGTCCGTGACAGGTAATTGAAAGCAATTTATATGCACTGATATGAAATAAGGAACAAACTGTTTTTTTAACATCTCATGTTGTTTTTAGGCCATTCGAGAGAACTGTAACCCTTCACAAAGACTCCCTCGGTCATGTTGGTTTTCAATTCAAGGATGGAAATATTGTGGGGCTTGTGAAAGATTCATCGGCAGCACGCAATGGCCTGTTGACAGATCATCAGTTATTGGAAATAAACACTATAAATGTGGTCGGCATGAAAGATAAAGAGATATCAAGGGTTATTGAAGCTAGCCCATCTGTTGTAAACATAACTATAATTCCGCAATATATTTACAAGCATATGATAAGCAAGTGAGTTAAATGAAAATGTATTTATTCAATAAAATTTTTCCATATAGTTTGTTGTTGATTATGACTCACTATTATAAGTCCATTATCTAGCCTTTCTATATTATGACTCACTGGGGTTTTTGAATAATCAAAGGGATAAAACAGAAATTAATGTAATTTAGTTTATATACTAAATATCAAATATATTATTATTTCATATTAAATAATTTAAAACATAAATCGTAATACAATTAAAGTATAAAACATGTCCATTGTTTCAGAATGTCGAGTTCATTGTTCAAGGAGCTTGATCGTACACCTGCAGTGTAATATACAAATAAAGGCATATTTATTGAGAAAAAAATCTATATCTTTATACAGCAAACACATTTAACTGTCACATAACTTTAGATCTATATTACAAAGGAAAATTAGTCAGTAGGGCTGTGAACTTTATGATTTGCTTACATTTCAAACAATATGTAACCTTAGTTATTAAGTGAGGAAATTATTATAATATAAGTTATATAGTATTTGATAAGTTAATTTGTATTTTACCATTTAATTTGTGCCTTTTTAATCACATTATTTGAATTTGAAATTGCACTTGCTTTTACACCTGTCCACCTATGCTCTGTTGGTGTGTAATTTAATATATTTAATATGATATCTAAGATTTACTTAAGTCCACATTTTAAAGTAACTATATATTTCTGTTATATTTTTTTGTTTAGTGTTATATATATTAATGTCATTACATTTAGTTATGTATAAGTCGAAAATATCTGCATACAAGTAAAAAAATATAATATTGTCTAATATACCAAAAACTTTTAAAACATTAGTTAAATACATATGAATTGTTCTATTGTATCAAACATTGTCTCCACATTCCTACTTTTCAACTAAGTATGTTAACAATGCATGTTTGAGTTTGATTTTCGAGTGGGAGGTTTAGTTACAGACACATACACACAAAGACAAGAATTTACATACATATATATATAGGTAGTATTTTACATATACAATAATATTGGAGTATGTATAAAGAAATATAACAGTTACATTCTCCATTTATAAGAAAAGGCATTTTTAAATACCTTTTCAAATACGTAATTGTAGATTATATAGAATGAGTCAATTAGTGTATCTGGCACTGAAAAGTATATTATTCCATACGTAATTATAATTTTATCAAATAATATGCAATTATTTTAACTTAATGATTTATTATTGCCATATTTATACAATGATTTTGTTAAGTGTAGGGTTTATTTTTTCATTTTAAATTTAGATTTTTTCTACACATTTTATTCTTGTATATTATATTCACTATATTTTTAAACATGACGCTTTGATTCATTATTTTTTTTTGTGATTCATTTAATTATTTTTGTTAAATAAATTATTTTACCGAATTTAGAATGTATTTGCTCATGTAAGCCGGCGATTCAGTTATTATATGTTTGTAAATTAAATGAAGCCATTTCAAATGAGAATTATAGATAAAGACTTGATATTTTTTAATATTTTGACATATATTTACTATATAATTGTTAGTTTTATATTAAAAACTTAGTTTTGAAGAAATGTATTAAGTTGTACCCATAGAAATAAATCTTTTATTACGATTGTACCTTGTTATTTTTCCTATATTCGTAACCTCAACATAAATAATCAGGATAGTAAATATCTTAATATATAAATATTGTTTTTAAAATAAATTATTGTAATGCAAATTTTTATGAGGTTCTGTTTCCTAATTTCCTAAGAATAATATCCATCTATCCAACTGATATAGCTCTTTTATCTACAATGGAAAACGGCTGATATATCTCTATATTCAAGAACGTTTGTTTTTCAGTCAGTGAACAGTCTTATAGTCATGACAACCAAATACTAACTTTTCAGTGTGGGAGTGACTATTGAGTACTTGATAACGCTAAGTCAAAATACTAGTTGTTTATAGTTAACTATTCAGAAATTAGACATTTTCGTATTTTAAAATCTTGTCGTTTTTAATGAAGTAACAAATTACTTGAGCACAATCACGATTAACTTACCTTTAAAAAAGTTTTATAAATTAAAGTATAATCTAATACCTTTAAAGAAAATAAATCAAATGAACGCCACGTTGATGCTTTTATTTTTTATATATTTGCATAATGAGTTACATAAAGGAAATCATTAAATATATTGTTATTAATAAATTATGTTGAAAGGATTTTGAAATGCCCAGTTTGGCTTTAAAACCACTTCAGGACAGGACCAAGACTTAGGAACGAAGAAATTGTCAGTTTCTAATTTCGGGCAGTTCTTTCTAGCGAAATATTCCATGGCATATAAACTCCACAAAAGACCTGTAAAGAAATTAGTTAGATTGAAATTAATTTGATATACTATGTCGTCAAAAAGTTGTAAATGTTGTATATTATTTTAAGACACTACACTTATTATTGTAAATCTTTAGGTTTACTAGACCTTGTTTACACAAAAACACTAGATACGGAGTTTCCAATATTTTATTCATATAAGTTGATACTATATATACGTTTATGGATAGAAAATTAGAAATTCGCCGTATATACCTATGTAGTGTGAGATGCATGGTATCGTTGTTTTTTAACAATTTTTGGACGTGGCTTCGATATCATGCCTCATAGAGCCTATGTGTTATTTATATATCTATGGTGTAAAATTTATTCAAGACTGATATAGTATCAGTGTTTGAAAAGTTACGTATGTGGGTCTCACAAAGTAACATTTATTTATTAGTTTGTCGTTTGTATGTTTGTTTGTTGTTTTCTTTTAAGTATTTAGCTGTTGTTTTATTGTATTGTGCAGAATAAAGTATTGTTTCCTTATGCGTTCCTTTGACAAATTGTTTTGAACTGACTTTATCTGCCGTCATCATTTTGATTGTTTACCTGTTTTAACGAGGATGTAATAAAGATTAATAGCTGTTTTATTTTGTGTATCGTCTTATAATAATATGATTAGCTTCGGCTTGTTTATACTATACTAGGTATTTATCTTCAATTAAGACTAACAAAACTCTAAGGGAATCTAACCATTTCCTATGAAAAGCACCAGCCACATCAGTAAATTGTAAAGCCTGGGGAAACGTCGTCCACTAGCAGTCAGCGGTAGCATCAGGACTCCGAAAACACCAAATTCCACTACAAGCACAGGATAGAAAAACCCGAAGGACAATATAAGTATGAGTTCATGAGCAATTGACGATACCTATAACAAAAAAAATGAATAATGAATTAGTATTGTATTTTTTAAGGTACCTACCTACCTATTAACACACCATAAACCAAAATGTTTGGTAAATTGATTTGTTGTAAAATTATCATCATTATATACGAGTTCGTCGCAATATTTAAATGAATCTTTAAAATACATTATAAATAGTATTTTTTTGCTATTGTTTTAAAGATATTTTGTAATGGACATTTCTCTGCAATTTTGCTCTCGATGTTTTGGGCCCTACATAAATATATCTAATAAATTAAACCATAAATTATTTCTGGTAGGTCTCATTATAGAATTGAATGTAGGGTTTCTTTGAATATCATTTATAAATTGATTTTAGAATTTAGGTTTTAATTAAAAATATTTAAATGTTTTTACTATGCTGAATCCATAGCAAACAAATAATTAACACTGCAGCTGTCCGTCTTCGTGATATCTATTCCTATTATTGATTAAACGTGGTTTTCTTTCAATTTCATGAGAACAATTTTCATATTGTAATTAAAATTATAATAACAGGTTAAAAAGTTGAAGGAATTTTTAAATACACATTTAAGAAAGTAGTTATTAAATAGATTTTTAATTAATGAGGATTTATAAAAATGCCCGATCATCTTTTGTTGTAAAAGGAAACAAAAATGTTTTTACTTACAAGAACAGAGCTGAGGATGGCAGGTCAAGGTTCAATTGGATCTTTCGTAGCCGTAATTGAGCTCAGTGGAGCGCAATCATTAGTTCGGAAGTTTTAATTAGCTGCTTAATCCTTATCATAACTTAAATTGATAATGCTCAGAAATCTTTGAGTATTTATTTAGTGGTACGAACATTCTTTAAGTTATTATTTTCTTTATCTTATTTAGAATCATTAACATTGGGATATATTCTCGATAAAATCATACAATAATCTAAAGACGAGAATAAAAAATACTCCGGGTATTTATATATAGCTTATAATTCTATTACTTTTACTTACAAAAAAGACAATGAAGGTGGATAAAGCGCGACCGGCTCGGGGAGCCAATGGTTGGTAGATATGATTCCGCAACCATGCATGCACAATACGATTCCAAGCACGATAGTAGTTTGAAAAGCGGGAGGTGGTCCACCAATCCTAGAAAAAAGTATAAAAAAGTATAAAAATAATGTGATAGTAGTGAATTTTAAAGTAGGTACATTTTAGAAACGTACACCCAGCATATGGCTAGAATATCTATAAAATTACATTTAATTGCATAATACTAATTTTATTGTACTACGCAATTAAATATCTATACAAAATTTATAGTCGAGACATCCGAGATTTGTTTTAAATAACTCATTAGAATATTTTATATAATTATCTTGATCAAATTCCTAAGTTATAGGTTTCATTTCATAAATTTAAACAGAAGCCTTAAAAAAGAATAGAATACCTATCATTTAAGTAATTATTCAAAAATGCTCTTCAATATTTTTTTTACTATTAATCGTTAGTTTCTGTAATTGCCATACTTATTCAGAAGGGTTCGTCTTTAAGATCTTTGAAATAGGCAGTTAGGCTTTAGTTAAGCTCATTTGAATTAGAATTCGGGGAGTATTTAGAAAGCTTTACTGGAATGGCATTTACGTACATACATATATGGTTTGTCCCCTTATGCTCCTTACTTATTAATTTAAATAACCTTTCTAGTTTTAACAAAGCAATTGAAATGGGAATGAATTATTAATACTGTTTAGACACATCATAAATCAAAACTTGAAAAAAGAAAAAAGTTGGCTAAGTTACACTTACTTGCAAAATAAATAAGCACATAAAAGTTTATCAGTTTCATGTGTAGTAGCAAAAATTACTTTAAAAAACAAATATCGCCTAGTTTCTTTAAACAGGGCGTTTTACTTATAAAAAAGGTTTAAGCAACGGCACCCAAGATTTTATGTTTAAAATTAACATAAGAATATATTTTCTAGAACTATTTTTAAAGCTGTAAAGATTCTACTACGGATATCCTACCCGTGAGAGTCGATAGGATAAGTCGGAGGAAACAAATCCAAGAATAAACCATTCTCTCTGTCTGGCTGAAGAGTTACGGCAACGCTTTTATATAGGTACTTCCGGATTTCCATTAGCGAGTAAGTTTTTTTGGGATACAAGTCATCCCAACTTGCCTTCTTGATTTTCGGCTTAAGTGGTAGATTCGCCTTTGTATCACATGATACATCACATAATTGTACTTGTACCTTAACATTACTAGTAGATTTATAACTAAATGTACACGCAATGTTAAGGTAGACAAATGTTATTTACTGTCTGAACAAAAGTTAAGTACCTCGTAAAAAAGTCTGTCTCCAAATGTGAGCATTTCAGCAAACGCGTTATGCCAGGCGTGCAAGAGGAGGTAAAAACCACAGAGGAACGATATCACTCCCGGCAGAATACAAGCGAACATACCTCGGACCACATAACCAGCTTCCACCTAACGTAAAGAAATAACATTGATCTTTATATAAATATAATAATAATTTTCATATGTTATAAATAAAATGAAAAACTCTTACCGTTGGTTCCTTTCCATAATTAGACCAATACGGTAATATAAACCGTTCCCATAGGAAACTATTGTAAAATATTATGGCCGCAACTTCTAAGAGATGACCAACAACTACACCCCATCTAACTTTTTTTGTTCTGAAAAATAATAATATAATTGTACATTAAAACAAATTCAATATTAATGCTTGGCTTTAATAAAATGATAAAAAGCATCGTTATTTTTGGTATTTGTCTTATATGAAGAAAGTTTTTATGAACTTCGAAACGTAATCATGTGGTTTTATTGTTTGAGGCCTTTCATTTATCTTATACCTTTTGTGTTACTGTGTTCTGTTTTAGTTAATTTTTTCTGAAAATGGTGTGCTATTATTCTACTCAATTGTTCCTAAACCAGGTATAAAAGTTAAAAATTAGAAAAATTCTAACTATTCCTAGCAAGAGATCCAGTTGTATGCAAGAATATTATAAAAAATGGGATTGAATGGGTTAAGAAATAAAACGTTTAAACTTACCTGGGATACATATCTTTGTAGATTAACGTTGGTGCGAATAAAAAGTAAACATAATGAGAAAAAGAAGGTAGTGGTTTTATTCCTTGATTACACCTTTCAACCAATGCAACAGCTACAGAGCACATTTTCATAGCAAAGCGAAACTAAAATTAAAAATACACATTATAGACATGTTAAAATAGCAATTATAACTTAAGATTAGCTTTGAAACTATTTTATAACAAATGAGTAATAGGGTAGTTTAAATAATATTTTAATAAAGTATTTAAAAACTTAACGTTATCAGATAATTTTTTACTTCGGATGTTGTCAAGCCAAATCCTTTTAAGAAATTCAGGTGTAAAAAACAAAGTATCTCGGGAGTTCTTTGTTAAAAGCCAGCTCGCAAGAACCAAAAAAAGTTCGATTTGAGTTGAAACACTTTTTGCAATATTTCTTTTGAAGTTAGTTATAATGAATTATGTATTTATGAACTCGAAAGTATAATGTATACATTTTTGTTTTTTTTCTTATAAATATAAGAATTAATTAGTAAACCAAATAATATAATTTATAACCGCCATAACGGAGTGGTTCATGTGGTGTAATTCAGCCAACGAAATTAGTGTCGGCTTGTAATCATTGCTCAGACATAAATCGCAAAAGCAGTGTTCATTAGGGTGACATTGTAATGAAATAAATGATGTAGGAGAGGGACGAGGGTGGTATCAGGTGGCTAGAAGGTGGTAGGTAATGGAATTTCGGTAGACCCAGCCGGCACGATGTCGTTATTTACAGGTCTAACTCGCGGCACTGACGAGGGTCGCTGATTTATGTAACATTTCACTTTCGACACCGTTTTGCTGTTTTATTCTACAATGCGTTTTTCTTAGGCATTTTATTATAATCAAAACACATATAACTTCTTTTTCTTTTTACGGGTTTATAATAATAACGAACTTATTATTCTCATGTGTTGATTAATATGAAATTAAAGTTCGTTTGGTTCGCTTATATAGTTGCTTTCTTCTTTTTAATATTTTCAATGATAGGGTTGAGTGTCTTTAACTCTAATGAAAATATGACCTAAAAGAGAATATATGGTTCTGGTTCTATGGTTCTGGTTTTTTATTAACCTTTGCCATTCAATCTTTTAAATTCTAGGAAGCTAGTTAAATCCCTGCTATAAAATTCTCTCGTGATCCGTCGGTCACTTAATGCCGGTCGAATGGAGTCCTGACCTTAAAGCATAATTAAAATTTGTATTCTTTTTCTTGACGGGGTCATTAATATCCTACCCTTATTGTAATTTATTATAGAAATATATTTTTCAAATCATAACTTTAGAAGTAATAGCTGAGTGGGGTAATTATATTGGTTAACAAGCCACAAGTACGTGCTTATCAATTTTATATAGGCTAATAAGTTTTAAAGTTAATAAATTGAACAGACAGACAAGTAATAAAATCAGACGTAATTGGTAACCTTTAATGAGCTCAGGTTGTCGAACTGGAATAGAAAATTTATTCAAATAAAAGTAGAAAGTAAAGTTTCATGAAACAAAAAGTTGATTTTGTTCCAATGTTATTGATCGACTAAAATACGAGAGTGCGCGGTAAAGTTCAAGCTTGGAAGACGTGCAATTAAGAAATATGGCTTATCAGTCTACCATTGAAGTTAAAAGTTTAAAGTTAAAAAATATTACGCTCTTTTCCTTTGTTTACAGTTTTTTGACATTGAAAAAAGTTGGATACTTCAACAATTCTGATATAATTTGGAAGTTTTCAATTTTTTAAATAGATTTTATGAAGAAATTAATGGGATGAATTTGATTACATTTTAGATTTAGATCCTTAGTTTTTCTTCTGGTCATAGTTGTGTTTAAAATGTTTTTAGCATACAAACTATATTTCTGTATATTCAATCAAGTAAAACTTATGCTTGTGCACTTTGCACATGTGTCGACTATATTTATATTTTTAATAGAATAACAAAACAAAGAGCATCTTTAAAATTATATGATAATACTAATACGATCATTTTTGATTTCCAACGTAATATCAGGCTCATTTTGGAGCTGTTACCAGAAAGAAAACATATATTTTCAAAGTTAACTTAATTTTTTGTATTATATTTAAATAAACTACAAACGTGTTACTCAGTACAAAGTATAATTTTTCTATACATTTTTTGTAACACACCTGTCATATTTGGTAAGCATATAAGGATTTTTATAAAAACTAATACAGAAGAAACAAATTTTTTACTCTAAAAACATTTTCTTATTAGCTATGAACGTAAAAAGAGACTGTATATTTTAAAATACCTGCATATTTAATATTATTTTTAGACTAGAAGACCCGAGTCTGGAGCAGACCCTCGAGCAGTAAAATAATGAATCTAAAGTAAATATAATTTAAAGATGTTTGGCCGTTTATGCTCCGTTTATTCGTATATATCAGGCTCGTATGGGAATCAAAACTTAAGGAGGATTTGCCATTGGACGAGATCAAGGGATTGATTGATTGTAGAAATGATATTTGGCAAGAAACAAGCGAATGTATTATGATGGTAGGAAAATATATATAGTTTTTAATATTTACATAACATTGTTTTTTTAGAAATACAAAGTCCGTTGCTTTATAATGATAATAAAACTAACATGCTCAACTGTCACATTTTGTTATGACCTTATACTATAGTTGATAAGTATATTTAAAAATATTTCTCTAACTTTAGTCTGCAAGTAAAATATTGTTGGCCTTTTAAGAAGTATACACAAAGTTCGGTGCAATGACATTGTATTATTTTGTCATATCCAATAACCATGAAATACCTTTCTTATTGATAGTGATATGAACAGTATGTAGCGAATTTATAAACAATTAACAAATCATATTAAATTAATCCTATATACTACCATTTAAATAACTCTAACTCACTTTAACTAACCATTTCACAGGTGACAACTGTTGATGAACCCAGTGCCAGGTGTTCTTTAGCCAGGTCCCATACAGGTACTCCGATGAGTAACAATTCCAGAAGCACGACACCAGTTATTCCAATTATTGACCATAGTTTGCAAAGCACTGTAATAAAATATATACCTGCTGTAAATTTTCAAGTAAATCATACAATCAAAAGATTCATCCATTTTTTTCTATGACAGAATACATTTAAATAGATTTGAGGATCATAGTTTCTAATATAAAATAATAAGATCACGTTCTCATGAAAGGATGATTTTGGGTGCAATGTAAAGCAAAGTGTGTATCAGGAAGACATGAAAAGCTTTGTTTTCATCACGTTTCATCAGTCCTTTTAGATTTCGGGTTGAACACCCATGTATAATATTTAATTAAAGGTCATGCTGAAACTGTATAAGCTCTTCAGTGAAGTGTGTTCTGTTAGGAGGCGTTGTATGGTCAACCAAGTGACTAATTGGATGCGAAGCGCAGTGGCCTCTTGCAACAAAAGGGCTCGAGCCCTGAGAGTGACCCTTGCATCCTACACTCAACACCCCTGTATGCTGGCGGAATCAGCCACGCGTAGTTTTAAATAATTTTCGTGTACAAAACTGAGATTTCGTTGACTATACGTTTGATTTTTTTTATTTATTCTGTACTTACTTTATCGTTTGCTATATTCATGAATTGTTTATTTTGTAATTTGTTATACTTATGAATCATAGAATTTTCTATAGTAGTTAAAGTTACGTAAATATTACAATTTGAAGATGATTTTAAAGTGTTACATTTAAGTGCAGTAATAACGATACGGATAGAAACCAATTCGAAATGAATCGATAGAAAATGCAAAATTTCTAACATTAAGTTTTTCCCATAGCTATAAAAGCTTATATGAGTCCTTGTCATTGTAGTTCATAGCGAAAGATAAAAATATTTACCTCGAAAACATAAATAACAAGAAAAGTAGTTTCGTATTTATTTCCTCATAAAGTGATATGCGAAAGATTTTCAGATACCCAATATACAAAATAAGTAGGTATATATATAATATTAATAATATTTTATTAATCACTGTTATACATTTTCATGATTTCAAAGTTCATGAATGGATTATGAACACTTATTAATTATCTATCATGATTATTATTTATTAATTCTCTTATAGTATGAAAATCTGTGTCAAAAAAAATACGATACTGATATTATCAGATTATTTAATTGTTAATCTACCTGTGTTATTTTTGATTATTTTTCGCACAGCTGCGTAGAATGTGATCCCTGGATAGAAGATCAGGACGATGGCTAATTGGAACAACCATAGCTTTGCTCCCCGACTGATATCGCCGAAGCCATATACCACCGATGATACTCCAATATTGATTCTAAAAAATAAATAAAATAAAAAATAAATATTATTAAAAAAGCAAATCTTCTTAATTTTAATACCAGCACTGCAACTGTCCAGTTAATCTGGTAAATGATTTAAAACCCCTTGAATGAAATTGTTATATCAAAAACATTGGTATGTGTTTTCATATAAATTTAAGTATTGGAATAATGTTATTTTAATAAAAAAATCCTCTTGGACATTCCTCCCCAAGCTTTTAGGACCCTTATTGATCCTTTAAGCTTTTCATTAGCATACAGATGGGCAAGGGAGACAGATTTAAGTGGCTATTTAAAAAAATACGGAACAAATGAAAAATGTTATACAGAATTTAAAACTAAGATAACGAGATTTATTTACTAGAATGGCAATATAAATTTATTTCCTATAGTCCATATAAAAGTTATGATGAAGCTATTAATGAGTTTGAGGACGTACATATGTACCTACATTAGTTAGTAAATCACATTCGTATAACATATGAAAATCTCGTTACAACTTATGGTTTATGTTTCAGATTTAATTAAAATACTATCAATGTATAAAATTTCATCACATAATGGAATCCGTGAATTTGAAACATTTAATTATGTTTGTATAAAATTAATAATGGTAATGTTGTACTTGCTTTCCAGTTTCAATAAGATCGTATATAACTGTATCACACAACAGTATGAGGAGTATTACAACAAATATGTGGTAAATGGCTTGTATGTGTAGAGACTGCTCGAAAAGGACTGTCAGCGGCGACTCCCGACACACAAAATCTGGATCTTTAGTCTTCTCATTATTTGATGTAACATTTTCTGTTATATTTGGAACGTTCTTTGTCTTTCTTAAACTCATTCTTTATCTGTAATGAAGAACTTATATATTTTATTTCTCATTATTAATAAAATCTTAATATAACTGAATAGATGAAACGAATTAATTGATTTAATAATTAACACAAGGCAAATATGAAATAAATTTGAAATATTCTATCAAAATCCCCTTATCCCATTATTCCCAAGTAGGGTTGTTGAAAGATTAATCAAGTGATATTAATCCCTTGATTGAATTTTGTGCTACAAAATAAGCTCTGGCGGAAAGATGGTAACTAGTTATTAAATAATAATCACATACCATTTGACGCCCTCACTGTAAATTATTTTGTAATATTTTTTTAAGCTACCCAAAGACAATGTATCAAGTCAAGCCAAGCCAAGCCCAAGTAAAAGAGGATTTTTTTATTTCAATGTTGTTTATCTCGCACAATTTATCACCAACCTTTTCGAGGTCAATTAAACAAATATAATATTTAATTATTTAACACATTGTTGCTCCCACTCTCAAGAACAAATTGAAAATTAATACAGTCTATACGATACAAGTCAGAATATATTCTGTTATTTTCATTGATGACCCAATTATTACAGTTACTAACAAGTTGCGAATGAACTTTGTCTTTGCACTATTACGGGTTGTCGGGTCATAACAATTTATTATTATTATAATAATTTCACAGATATTTGTTCACTTGATATGACTGCTCTGACAATAATAAATCCTATTGGAATATTTATCACAATTCGTGCAAAACGTTTTCTGACTATCATTCTCCCTACTCCAATGATTACAACTTACGATAAGTCTATGCTATCGACCGATTAAATAATCTATTTATTTTTAATTGACAATGAAACGTGATTCCTTATATTATCAAATTGAATGAATTGATATTTTTTTTAACAAAATTTTATATACTACATTAGTATAAAGGGGTATTTAATTGTTTGAGTTGTTTTTTTTTTAATTATTTATTTTATAATAAGAATAAAGACAATCGACAATACATTGTGTGCCATTTTAACTCTTAAGTCTTTGTAATGTGGATGTAACTTGTAAAACGAAAACGACTCTTGGTTTTGTTTTAAAATTTTCCAAGGTAATATGTATGCACTAAAAAATGAATGTATTGAATAATTCTATAAAAAATAAAAATTTAGTAAAACCGCGGAGCCAATTAGAAACATGAACAGAAACAGTCAAGAGCAATTCAACGAGCCCAAACTTAAAAGTTTGAAGAGTTTACTTAAAGGCAGTCCAGAGTTACGTATCCTATTTGCGAGCCCTAACAGCAGACAGCTCAGTGGTTCCAGAAGACATTAATGTTTCAAATGTCAGATCCCACGTTGCTTGCAAGCAAATTGTGCGTGTAACTTTCCTATCAGACCTAACAAACGACCTGATGACCTTGAAGACCTGAACTGACTTCCACCAAATATTGCTAAGAACAGTCTTGAAGGATAAACCTTTTAAAGAAAAAAAAACAGCATTAAAATCGGATGATCCGACACAGACACGTCAAACTTATAACAGTCCGTCGTTTTGTGCGTCGAGAGTTAATTTAATATATGTATATTATGAATATTTAAAGACTTGGATTTATTTAGGTTTAGAGACAATGACATAAATGACCAAACGAATAATTGTTTCTCCTGCAAAGTTACTGTATGAGATGCTTATTTGTAAAAAAACACAACTAATAATATTCAAAAATAAAAAAATTGCATGAAAAAGGTTTCAGAATGTTCGTAATGTTAAACTAACCATTAAAAACAAGATAACTGATAACGTTTTTGTGTATTGTAAATAATAATAAAATTACTGTCAATTTACCACAACATGACATAGACGTCAAAGCAATCTCACTTAGATCCAAGACATAGTTTGGTTCTCATTTTAGAATGAAAATTTGTAAAGTTTAATTTATATAAATAGTTTTGTTATTGTTCAACAGTTACGTCGGTAATAGTACCACAGATAACTTATAATTAATGATAGTTTAACAAACTTACTAGTCATATTCCCTTGGGTAAATTAAGGACTGTAAGACCTATTCTATCACAGATTTGTAAATTATATTTTACCTACGCCTCCGAGATCGCGCCTTTGTTTCAACGATTATTTAGGCCAGGTAAGACAGTACGTGATACTTTATGTACCTCTGTTTTTCATTGAATTCAAATTTTCATAGTTTTTTTTTTTTTTTATATTTTTATATTTACTCATTTATAGTTTCATCATTGAAAATAACTATTCATATAGGTTTTTATTTAAATAATTTTTAGGAAAGATCAGTCGGGAATGTTATTCCAACTGTTACAAATTAACGTATTTTCTCTCTCTAAATGTGTTAAAGCAGGCCACTTACTTCACATTTATTTCTCTCTGATAACTTAAATTTTTCTAACTAACTCTACAATTTTCTCACAAAGCTCTTCGATATTTTTGATTCTAGGATCTATGCTTATGTTTTTATATCCAGGAACTCTCTTACAAGTATATCAATTATGTGGTTTTTGAAATGAAACTTCGTTATGCACTTTTAAGTTAGGAAATAAGTTCATGAATAAGTATAAGTATGAATAAGCACGTTTAAGCACATGATTTTTTTTTAATGTTACTATTATATAATAGCTTCAGACACAAGGACCTTTTAGTAGGAATTGAATAAAATTATTTACTTTTTGTAAGGTCTGAGTATCGTGTTTTGCTTTCTATAAGGTATACTTAATGACGTTTAATTTTTTGTGTAGGTAGTACTACATTTTACCTTTCTGAATAAACGGATTTCTTAAAGGTCACTTCTGTCTTAAGGGTGTTCGTTTTCTCTTTCTTCTACTATTTCTTGATCATTTTTCTGGTAGGTTTTGGTATTACAATTTTGGCATGTCTATATTTCTAATATATAATATTAAGAATTTCTGATATATAATATTAAGAATTCCTATTCTTTACCACTTCTAAGAAATATAACATTGTAAGTTGAAACTCTCGAAAGTTTTACCACATATGAATACTGCAGAAGCGACATCAATTACCGCATTATTTTGACTTGAGCCATGACTGCTTTATATATTTATAGCATAGGTATACTTATGGGAATCAGCTTGCTATGAAAAGTAAGCTCCATAATAATTTTAAATTTTTTTTTGTCAACACTTTTCATATGTAATGTATATTTTCATAATTATTTTTGTTTTCTCCGAATTAACCTTTACCCTTTGCAATACAAACAACACCATTAACTAAATTGACATCTGCGTCAATATTTCCCCCAAATTTTTGCACCTATTTTTATTATTACACTCTTCCAGTGACGCAACTACAGAATCGACGCCATTTAATTTTTCATGCATTCACAACCTTTTTTTTAGTTGTCTGAGCCAATATTTTTTCTACGTACAGCAACATTTTTAGTTAGGAAATGGAATGGGATCTAGGCATTGTAATATTGAAAGATTTTTGTAGGTAAAAAATACACGATCATCCGACAGTTTTGAAAGGGTTCAATTATTTTTATTAATCTATTTTTACTTGAAACTTATATGCGTGTTGTGTTATAATCTAGAGGGGAAAAAGTCGCGATCTTTTCTTTAGTTATATCTATTCCTACATCACTTGGTAACACAATACAGTCAGATTCATTGAGCAACCATATGTCAATAGTAAGTTTAATAGATATGAACATATCATTATACAGATTCGGCACAGTGAAGGAACCTATTAAGTTATTTTGTCAGCGGTTGACAGTTTTTCATAATATGAAACTTCCCTCTCCAGCGAAAGCTGTAATAATATAATTGATACCTATTCTAATCGTCTTGTGTCTCAAATGTTAATGTATTAAAGTAACATTGGGTTTTATCGATACTTTGTCTATAATAATAATCAAAGTACTTGTTTCAAATTTGACAGAAGAAATTTGGGCAGATCTTCAAACAGTGACATGTATGTCGTTATTTCCTTGTGTTCAACGTTTATACATATTTAATAAGTCAATGTACACTCAATAGGTTTAAATTAAAAGCAACTATTGCTTTTGGAGCACTAACTTCCTTATTTTTCATACATCCTAATTTAAACTCTCTTATTAAATAAAAAAGCTTTGTCTAGTGCCACCGATTGCAAAGCGATGAGTATTTAGCTTTTGATTTTTGTGGAACTTGTTTTTAAAAAAATATAATTTACCTATTAAAGTATACTATACAAAGTAGTACTCAATAAAATAAGCAGCGACTGATTATCGTCAGAATAACTACGAAAAATCTTAGGGGGATATTAATGCAATACAGTGCGTTAATCTAAGTCAGTGGTGGCCTCGTGGTTAAAAGGCCCACCTCTCATAGAGGGCGCGGGTTCGATCCTGGCCCAGGCAAGAATCAATGTGATTTTCCCAAGTCATATGTACTTTCTAAGAGTATTTAGACATCACTGATTAATGCTGATTCCCAAAAAGGGTTGATGTCAGGCAGGCGGCCGGTCGTAGAAACAATTAGCTAAAACTATTCACAACATGTAAGGCAGACCCTGGCTGAAGCTGGAAAATTGCCAGGTAGAAGAAGAAGTGCGTTACTCTGTTAAGGTACACTGAAATTCACCGAAAGCAATATCACGTTGCAAAGATACCCACCTTGAAGTTAACGATGAATCAATGCCGTCTTACAGTGCATCTTACCTGGAAATATACTGAAAAGCTATAGTATGTTAGATCTGTAAGCCTAGAAGCTGTAGCATGTTATAGAGATAATTTATGCTGAGCCTGAGTTATATATGACATATAATATTTTTAATAAAATTTAATTTTGACGAAAATATAAACTGGAAATTTGAAATAAAATACTTATTACAAATATATTTTTAATCTTACTCTTGGAGAACTAAGTCGAACATTGGATAAGGTTTAAAAAGTATAAAGAGAAATCTTTTTCCGGAAAAAAGGTATCACAATAGTATTTAACAATGACGCTTTCATCTTGTCTGATCCTTGGTAATGAGGAAAATGTAAAATAAAATAATAAAACACGTAGTTAATCCGAGAAACAGATTCATTTAAACCTCATGTTTCTGTTGCTAGAAAAGAAAGATGCCACTTATATCTAGTCTAGTAATAATTAAATAGAAAATTGTGAAATTCAATTAGACATGAGAATATCCCTAAACGCTGTAGCTTAAAAAAAGTTAAACTAACTAAACCGAACCAAATATGTTTAAAATTATTAATTAACTAGAAGACCTGGCGAACTTCGTATCGCCCTATAATAAAGAAATATCAATTACGTTTTTTATTTATATTTTTGGAGTTTACCTGTCAGCATTAAATCTCCGTGTTTTGAAGTGCGACAGAATGATTGACATATTAGTTAATTGTCAAATCTAATGTCAAAAAAAAGTTTGTATGGGAAATAGAAAAGGGCTGTTTTTATGGTTTTCCCAGTAATGAATCAATTTTTTTCAGCTTTTATACCTTCCCTGAACCTCCACGAACATTTCAAGACTAAGATAAGATAAATCCGTTCAGCTGTTCTCGAGTTTTAGCGAGACTAAGGAACAGCAATCCATTTTTATATATATAGAAGATAAAAGTCGAGTTAGAGTGACAGTATTTACTTCTCATATATTAAAAAATATATAAAAAATTGTTCCTAAAAAATATATATATTTTTCATACTATTAAATTACGCATCTTCCCTTTTGCGTAAATCAAATAAGACGTTGTTTTGTGTTTAGCTGTGAAAACGCATTACGATCCATAAGCTGCCTGGGTGAAAATAAAAAGAAAGTTACAGTTATTATTACAACGATTCATATTAAAATATGTCATATCAATTTAGTTTACTTAAATTTTTTAAAGGATTGGAAATTGTACAACTACATATTTATAAGAAATGTCTCATCCTTGTTTTTCCTTCCATTGTTCACTTCATAACTTTGTAATCGAATAGTTATTTTTGAAATTGGTATACAAAGTATTTCAGTTTTACATTAGTTTTTATATAAAATTTTAATTCTTTACAAAATTGGAATCTGCTATGTCTGCTAATGGTTTAGAGTTTTATGGTTCGTCTAGTAAGCAAGTGTTTGACAAAGTTAAGGAAGTTTGACCGGTTATAATTCTTAAATTACTGCTTTAAATTTAGTGATAGCCGGCATAGCAGGAATTGTATAAACATGTTACCACTTCTGTTACTAGTACTACTAAACTTTAATACGATGTCCATTTGGTTATTAAAAATTGCTTTGGAATAGGCCTGAATTGCTTCGAAAAAAGTATGGCCTTGATTACTTGGCGGGGAAAAGATATAGTTCCCAATGGAAATTGAAATAAGTACATCTTTCAGAGTGCCTATCTGTGATATCGTTGATTTTCATGGTAACTTTTTAAGTTTGTCTTTCATATTGTTTTGCTTACTGATCCTCAGAAGTCAAGATAATAAGAAATTTATTCTGTGGGCTGGATTAAACAGTTTATGAAAGAACCGATTTTGCAGCCGAAGAATTTTACACGTTTCAAACCAACCACTGATAAAGAGATTAAGATTAAGAATTAGTAGTTCGATCTGCACAGTAGGTGTTCCACCAAACTTATTTTCTCGTGTCTTACTTAATTTCTTTTGTAAAATGATAACAATTGTTCACAGCGTTGTAATACAATAAAAATTAAAGACATACTTGGCTTTGAGGTATAAAATAAGTTAATTTAATTTCCATATTTTTATATATGTAATTGGTTAAAAGCAAATATATAAGTCCTCAATCATTTCACCGTATTGTTATCGACATGAACATTGACTTAAGGTGACTGCATGATATCGATAATTTAATTAATATTTTTTATAAACAATAAAAGATAATGGTGAAGTAAAGATAATAAATTATTTGAATTTGACAGATTGTTTCAAATATTGTTTAAGAGTTAAATTAATTTTACCACTGGCTTAAACAAATGTATGACATATTTTTTATAAATAAGTTTCTCGTTTATGTCGTAGCTACATAATATGTTGTTTTAAAAAAATAGTTTGTATTTAACAACTTTGTAATTTTTTCTTTTATACGATAATAATATTTGATAAATATATATAAATTGAACATCAATTATAGTAACATCTTATAATTTCGATACATATTTTAATATAACCATCTACAATTTCTAATCTTAGGATGAGCACAAATGTTCTTAAAGATACAATCGTAACTTTATATACATATGTATAACACTTTATTGCTGCGAAAAAATAAATATACCGATCAAAAGTTTACTGTTTCTTACGTCTCTTTTATCACCTCATATATGAAACACTCTTAACCGATCCCGTGATATATTGTTTTTATTTTATGACGTCCTTTATATCATGCAATAACTAAATCACATCTGCTACAGGTCGTATCGTAGGTATTTATAACTAAACAGTAGCTATCGTTCATAAATTTGTGTTGAGTATTAAGCTAGGTTTTGATTAGCAACATAAATACGGTATTTAATAGGAAATATAGTTACTTTATTATAATCGCAGGAAATATCATTTGCATCCCCTGTAAATCGCTTCTCGAAAGGCTGTCACAAAACCGATCTGGTGACCCATTTATACACCACAATCCGATTACTAAAACATTCCCAAAAATTGTCGTTTATATTTCAACTCTTTTACAAACATTAATTAATTATAGGAATGTTCCAGGAAACATTTAGCTAATTATTTTGTCCACTTGTCCAAAGATGGCGCTGCCAACTCATTGTTGAGAATATTCAATAATATTCGTTAAGTCACTCTTTAAGCTCGACAATATTAATGTGATTTTTTAAGAATGAACTTAACAATAATTGGTTTTTTGGATTCTCAAGGTCTATTATTTCCCTCCAATGTACACTATATATTCAAATAAGCCCCTAATAATAACATTTCGGTTATTATGTAGTGGACTAGTTATACATATAAACAGAAAAACGACATAAATCATTTGTGACAGCTACATATGTTTCATTCGATAAGTAATAAGGAAGCCATAAGTTTCTAATACTTCGTTCTTAATGCCTTACATTGGCTCCTAAATTAATAAGAGTGACGAGGTGTCATGATGATTATTTATTGTTCATATTCTGTGGTATGTAATATTCCTAAAATTCGTAAAAAGAGTTTATTTTTCTTGAATAAGACATATTTTATTTAAAGATATAAATTCCAATCATCTGTGACGTGTAAAGTAATATTAAATATGTATTCAGGATCAGGGAATTGTTTTCGAGAAAATATATTCTGCCGCTGTTGGTTACGAATTGTAACCTGGTGACAATTCTTATTAGATTTGTGAGAGGAGCTCGGAAGGTATTTTTAATATTAAAATATTTCCGATTTTACTATTTTTAAAATGTTCCGTTAAAATTGATTTTAATATAATATATTATTCAATAAAAAAGTATTTACTTTATATTAAGTATTTTTTTTTTCATATTAGAATTTGAGTAAACAGACACAGTAAGAGTTGCAGAAAAAATTATTAGCAGGACAAGAATAATGTTTATTTATTAAAATAATTAAAAGTATTAACAATGTTCATTTTTTTCTTTTTCTTTACAGATAAAATTCGAGGAGTTTAAAAGATAGAAAAGTACATATAAAAAGATCTTATTAGGTTACAATTTCGACTTCTATTAAAAACTTGTTTTAATCGAACAAATGTTTATGTACATAATTGAATAGTTAATGTAAAATTAACCTCTGGGAGCAACTTTAACACAGACGCCACTGAGACACTTGAGGGGTTCTTTGCATACAGCTGACGGAGTCTCTCCCAGCTCCTTACTGTAAACCTTGCAAGCTGCTCCTTCAGCTAGAAAATACACGAAATTGTTATTTTAATATAACAGAAACAGCATCAGTCACACTATCCCTATGAGTATGAGGAAGCGGGTTCATTTTTATTCTAAAATATATTTGTATACATATTGTCATGTACAATGCGAATAAGATCCATTCATGCAGTTTCGTAATTATATGCCTACTTTAAAAGTTATATTTTCAAATGATCATCCTAATTCAAATTTATGAAGGACGCGATAAAAATTCACTTGTATGTATATTAAATTTTTAACAAAAACATTTCACTAGGTCCATTCATCCGTCATAATATTCACTTACATAATAATGTTACACAGGCGGGACAGCAAGCACATTTGCCAGCATGGTTAGCGCGGTACACGGAAGGCGAGCGGCAACTTGATGCTGCAATCTTATTAGAGCAGGGGTTCTGTTTGCAGTAACTAGAGCCGCATACTAGGTCACCATATGCTAAAGCCAAAAGGCATGACAGAAACGCTAAAATTATAACTGTTTTCATCCTGAAACAAGAAAATGTTGGTTATTTCAAATATCTATTTGGTATACATCTACACAAAAACCAGAAAAAATACATAACTCATATCTGGTATATAGATTTCAGTTAATTATATTATAACAAGCCCACAAAACTATAACCAATCTGACTTACAAAGCTGACGTTGAAAATAACTGGCTGTAGCACGTGGGTTGAATAACATATCTCGTTTTGTACGTGGCTAGCAAAATATTGTTAAGTAAAGTCGCACAGAATTACATGAAAACAATTTATATTATATATTAACTAAATCATATTTGAACCCAATTAGCCCTTCAAGTTGTGCGATTTGTATGATAAAACGATACTTCAAAATCAACGATTCCGTAGAAATTACTAAGTTAACAATTAGCCTGATTAGTCTTGTATAGAAAATAAAATTCAATAGTAATATATGTTTGTAATATGACTTCCGAATGAGAATATTTTATAAAACATAATTAATTTTAAAGACTTACTTGAATATTTTTACAAAGATTTTCGTGTGACCGATGAAGAAACTTTCAAATTGAATGGCACAAGGAAAGAGTATTTAGCCAATTATATAAATATGTCTAGATAACCTCGAACCCCTGTTTACGTGTTAGTATAATGTCACGAACTCACTTTATCTTAATTTCTTAAGAATTCTGTACCTATAAGCTAAATTAACTATCTTCTTAGATTAACAAATCATTTTAAATATTTCTACGAAAATAAATATTGTTTCTGTTTTGATTGGGAAAATATAAAAATAGTTTTAGTGATTTTTTATGTATTTTTTACTTTCTTATTCTGTCCTTGGTTTAAAACTTTTTATTAAATTCTCTCAAATTATCCTTCTTTGTGCTTACTAATTTAATCTTAATTCCAGTTCCCAATAACAATAACCACTTTAAAGTAAATTGCGTTCTTTGAATATAAAAGAAAGTACGGGTAGGAAGAGCAGGGTACTGCTTTAAAATTTTATTGTCCGTTACATTTAGAAACCTTTTTCAGTAAGCAACATTGAAATTATATATTAATAGAAGTTATACAGTTTATGTACATCATACTTGTATCGTAAAAGTGACAAACATCTTTAAATCCTTATAAACATTTTCTCAATTTCTAAGAAGAACTACGCATTGAATCACGAGTCTTGTAAATTCCAATTTAATAAAATAACATATTTCTTCGAAAGATATGATTATAAAAACGTTGTTTATTATTCCTGTTTTAAATGTAGCTGGAACCGACGACTGGCTGACAAGTCGGGTTATCTTTTATCTCTAAATGAAATATTTTTAAAACTTACAACAACAATTTAGAGATGGCAATGCAAATATTGTACATCCCAACTATAAATGCGAATTATAAATGCGAAAGTAACTATGTCTGTCTGTGTGTCTGACGCTTTCTCGCTTAAACCTATCAACCGATTTTGATGAAATTTGGCTCAAACAATCTTTAAACCCTGAGAAAAAACATAGGCTACCTTTTATTGCGATAAAGGGAATGAAGAGGTTGAAATAGGGGTTGAAAGTTTGTATGGGATTTCTTAATTTTAAAAGATAAAACCACGAAACTTTATATTTAAGTACTTGATAAGATATATATATATAAACATATGTTCTAGCGTTTTTAAAATTTCGACCAGTGAGTGGGTGAAAAAAGGGTTGAAAGATTGTATGGGATTTTGTCATTTTTGGGGATAAAAACATGAAACTTTATATTTAGAAACTTGATAAGAAATAAAAAACAATTTACTTTATCGTTTTTGAAATTTAAAATCGTTTGTTATTTTTACCACCGTGGGGGTGACATTCTACATACGGAATTCCCGAAATTCGAACGGAACGGAACGGGAACTACGAAGCTAAACTTTCTGTATACAAATAAATAAATAAAAAAAAATAAAAAATTAACCACTGAACCTAGGAACATCATATTTAGAAGTTTTGGGTGTATCGAGTAAAAAAATTGGCTTTTGAAGTTAAAGTTCCCTTTAACGAATAGATACTCTGCGTCGCCACCATTGCCGTCGGTCGTCGGTCGCCGCACAGTGGGAAAGCCCCATACAAGGCCGTCTCAAAACCCCTACATATGAAAGTCGTTGTTATGCAGTAAAACTAATTAATTAGTATAGTCTTATAAATAAGCTTCCTTTTCTATATATTTTTAATTATTTTTTGCAAACCATAATATATATTAAAGTTGACTCATGTTCTATGGTGTGGATTTTGGCCCAGAACATTACTACAATTCAACGTCACATTACTCGAAAGTATCCCTACTAATATTATAAATGCCAAAGTAACTCTGTCTGTCTGTCTGTTACGCTTTCATGCCTAAACCACTGAACTGATTTTAATGAATTTTGGTACAGAGATAGAGTTGACCTTGAGAAAGAATAAAGAATAGTTTTTATCCCAGACTTTTGAAAGGTTCTCTTGGAAACGCGATATAACCGAACTTCACGAGGGCGAAGCCGCGGGCGGAAAGCTAGTATACACATATACTTAAGTAAGATAAGTTTTATTTCAATAGATTGAAACTAAGGTACATTTAGCAAATTTAGCTAATTTAAATACATATAAATAAATTAAAAAATATATGTATATTCACATAATTTTAATGTACTACATTTAAGAGTTCCTTAACAAATTTAAGCCTACTTTATAAAGGAAAGTAAAAAGTAAAAGTACTGTAAAAAATGTTATATATTGCGTTTAGAACTCTAGGACAAAGTTTTATAGTTTTAGCCACTATGTGTTCTATATCTTACATTGATACATATGTTGTTTGAGATAACGGCGCCTTTGATCTTAATTGTACTTTATGTTGGTTCAGCTTAATGACATCATAGCTTTACTTTTTTATATTTAATAAAAGTTTTAAACTATTTTTCAGCATCAGGTGACATCACATTTATAGTCTCATGTTATTTAAAAGTGCAAACTTCTTATTCGTGTAGTTTTATTAATTAAATTAACTTCCAGTACTTTCTGCAGGAAATCAACATTCTATCTGTGATAGATTTAATTGAAAAGTAGTGTACGTATATAAGTGGGAAATGTATTGAAACTCGACAAGAGACAACTCAAGGATAAAATGATCAAAGGAAATAAAATTAATTTAGATTATATATTGGAATAATATACTGTGTGTGAAAAATGTTGATATCTGAGTTCCAGAGAAACATTATTATTAACATCGTGAAAATTATAAAGAAATTTTTTGGTATTTATCACTGAAAAAAATCAATCTTCTTTATATATGAAAAAAAATCCTATTGTTCAGCTCAACAACAGTTGCAATGGTTCTTGGCAAAAGAGTTCTTTTTTTTGGCAGAAGAATCATCTGAAACTTTTGAAATTTATTTTCCATTGACGATATACTGCCAGTAGATAATAATAGGTGCTTTTAAAACATTTTAAAATGATCTTTGAATTTTGATTTAAACATCGACGGAGAATAAATTGAGTCAAAACAAGCCTCATACTGGCTCTTAACTTGTTTTCGAGTATTATTTTTAGATCACAATTTCATGTTATTCAGAGAGAAAAAATAGAAATTGCTCTCTATTCTGTTTTCATTTCAAGGATATATGGAATTTTAATAGGAGCGGTAGATATATAAAAAATGTATGTGACTTGGAATTCTTAAATTTTAATTGCAAAATCTACAGTATTTTCATTATTGATAGGTATTTAAAAATTATCACATTACATGTAATGTTGCTGACTCATATACTTCATCTAGGGAAACAAACATCAAAGAAATCATTTAGCCTCCCATATACATAGATTGTACAGTATAGCTATACTAGTGATGCCATTTGTTTAGGTGGTAGAGCCTAGATGTGGTCAAGTAACTGTAGCTCAAACGTGGGCTGGCTCGACCGGGGAAGTAACACCCTCTCCCAGAAAATTGGCGTAAAATAGTCATTAATGAATTACGTTTCGTCCGATGAGTAAGATAGCCGGTTGCCCTTTCCCTGTTCCCACCCTTTCCTACCTTTTCGTTATTCCCACCTATGATGTCTATGGGTGACGATAATTACCTTCCATCAAGTAGGCCGTCTGCTCCTTTGCCACCTTTCACATAAAAAAATAATTGTACTTTAATGTACGTTTTAGTTGTCTTAGTTATCCTGGAAACTGGGTCGAGTCGTGAATTGCCTTTATTTTACTTTCTTTTGTATTTTGTTCTTAACCTTTAGTTATATTTAAATTTAATTTAAGATATCCAAATAAACACAGGTTTTTATTTTTAATACGTTAAATAATATTTACAGTTAGAAATCCTTAAAATGACTTAATGATTCATATGGCTATAGGTCACCTGAGAATTACCTTTTTTTGGTAGGTTTTGCTAAGAGTGATCCTCGTTTCGTATCTGATAACGCTCACGCGAACTAGTAAAACATGAACAAGATTAAAAGTTTCATACCAAGAAGATTACAGCAAATCGGAAATCGTAGAACGTTAACGACTTTCGCAAGTCGTTTAATACATTTCGCGAACCTAATATACGGTAGGTAAACATAATAATTTTAACTGCAAAATGTTTTCACTAAATACATATTTGTGTCAGTCTTGTTTAAGGAATGTATCATCAACAGTTATCTTTCTTTACTATGAAGCAATTTATAATTTATATTAGATATATATTAATAGATATATATGAGATATATATATATAAAGTCAAAATTTTTGATGTCCAATTTTTTTTAAATTCTTATGTATTATATGTATGAGATGTTTTTGTATGTTTATTAGACTGTAAAGATAACATGACATACTGGTTGCCAAGAAAAATATATTATAAGTGGTGAAATGTTTAATAGTTTAATCTTTATTGTAACCTACATGGCAACGCCTCTTTAGTGACTTGCATGATATTCTAGGCAGCCAACAATTGTTTTGCCAGAGAATAAAAATAAATTTTAAACTATGATATGTTCTTGAAAACTTTATTTGGTTTTAACATAAAACAACAAC